AATCCGTATGGAGTGAGTGTTCTCGAACAGCCTATAATCAAATCTGGACAACCCTCATCGCTCCTAATTTGAATATTCAGCGGTTTATAAACGGAAGTACGCGCTATGCGGGTGGTTAACTCCATATAGTACGTCTAGCCGACTAATTTAACGCACTTGTTGGATTTTAAAAATGTGGAAAAAGTTATGAATTTCTTTGTTGCAATGTCCAGTGGGTTATCGTGCGTAAAATAAAGTCTGTAATTTACCTGAGTAAGGAGCAAAGTTCCTTTCGTTGTAACTGTAAAACTGGCTAAAATAGATATAATGGCGTCTTCTTTAATTTTATGAAAATTTATAGGCGCTGGGATTAGAGGGGCATTCCTAAAATATGACTAAAGCGGATCAATGCAGTGTTTATCAAATAAACAGCTTCAGTCAATGAAACCATCAGCAATGTTTATGCGGGTGAGTCTGGAGTTATTATCCTATTGAATTACTATACTAGCTCTTATTTTATTACATGTAATATAAAACCATCTAAATCTTGTTTGTATTTATTAAACGATGACAGATTTCATTGTGTGGTTTATAAAAAGCTAATATTTTATTTCACTTACGCAACCGTTATCCGAAAGGTCACAAAAAGCACAAAACCCGCGATTCCCTCGGGATTTCGTGGGAAGTGAAGGTGTCGAGTTTTAATTATTTACATTCGAACATGATTATTTTCAAGAGAGATTTTATTTTAGACGCGGAAAATCGATGTATTTAGTCGATAAATCTAGCCGCTTTTGTTTTTTGAAAATTTTAATTTATTACTGACGATGTTCTGTGACTGAATGCCAAATAATGGTAACGTGTGTATAAAGGAAGAAGTTTACGACTAGTAAAAATGTCAGTTTTGTTGTGCGAAAAAATAAACACGGTTCTTGTCTAGGTTGTCGTGGAACATTTTCGGAAATAAAATAATTACAGAACATAAATACGAACGAAAGTTTATTGGGTGTGACGTATTTGCAATGACGTAAATTTTATAAATACCTCGTGCTTTGTTAAATCTGGCAAACCCATTGACTACACACCTTTGACTTACTTAAATGTGTAAAATATTATCAAATCATCAATAAAACTCAAAATTCGTAAAAAATCCTTTTTAAGTCCTGTGTGCTCATTTTTTAATAAATATTGATTTAATACCTAATTTAGATAACTGTTTATACTCGGAAAAAAAATTCACTTTGATTGTGTTGCAATACAATAAATTTCAAGCCTGGCAAAGTTGTAAAATCACGTCATCAAATTTTTGGTGGAAGTAAATGGGTAAATTTTGATTAATCTTTCATCATCAGTCTAATAAAATTACTAACAGACAGACACCCGACGAACAGACGTAGACGTGAGTTCGACGCTCCGAAAATAAAAATAAAGACTGTAATTTATTTTTAGAATTGATTTTATGACTAACGCAACAGAGAATCAACAAAACAAAATTTTTCATGCGCTCATGTTTTCTCGGCGTCGGATGATCCCATAGAGTATGAAAAAAAAGGTGTCATGTAATCTCCGAAATGTCAAATCAAATCAAATTTTAGGTGTGTAGGTGCAAAAACCAAACTTGTCTAATCATCCTTACTAACAACTTGACGTCTCAAAATTTTATAAAATAATATACTCTTAAAATTGTAGTTTATGATTCCGCCTTGATTTTTACTTCCCGAGCGTAAGCAAAGGAAGTATTGTAATCGAGTCCGTCGGCCGACTCTCTACTTTTACGTTTTCTCGATCTTTCATGACCCCTAGAAGACGAAGAAATAGGTCTCCCATTTCCGTCTGTCTGTCCGTCTGTCCGTCTGTCCGTCTGTCCGTCTGTCCGTCTGTCCGTCTGTCCGTCCGTCTGTCCGTCCGTCTGCCGTCCCGGATTTTTATTAGACAGATAATCTCCGAAAGTACTCGACCGATTGTTGTGAAATTTTGCACTTATATTAAGAATATCATGTAGATGGTAAAACGCTAACCAAAATTTGTCTAATCATCCCCACCACTAATGCGATGACGTCACTTCAAAATTGTACATAGTAAATGGGTTTTCAATTGTATAAAATAACATAGTCCTACACATGTAGTTTACAACTCCGAATTGACTTTTCACCCGAAACGTCTAGATTTTTGGAAAAAAAATCAAAATTATAAAACAACATTTTGAAATTTAATTTTTAATCTGCTAACCAGAATGCTTTGAAATGTTGCAGATGTTTTAAGGCTATAAAGAGCATCATAAATCTTTAGTCAAAAAATATTTGCTTATCCCCTCCAAAAACTTGATGACGTCAGCTCAAAAGTTTGTGGAATAAATCATATCTAAAATGTACAAAATATGATGAGTCTGTACTTGTGATCTATCACTCCATTCATATTTTTTGGATTTGCATATACAGGGTGACTCAAAAAAATTAATGAATGCGTAAATTTATTTTACTGATTTACTCAGAAACTACAAAACCGAATGCTTTGAAATCTTGCAGATGTTTTAAGGTTATAAAGAGCATAATAAATGTTTAGTCAAAATATATTTGCTTATCCCCTCCAAAAAATTGATGACGTCAGCTCGAAAGTTTGCCGAATAAATCCTATCTAAACTGTAAAAATATGATGAGTCTGTACTTGTAATTTATCACTCCATTCATATTTTTTGGATTTGCATGTACAGGGTGATTGAAAAAAATTAATGAAAGCGTAAATGTATTTTACTGATTTACTCAGGAACTACAAAACCGAATGCTTTGAAATCTTGAAGATGTTTTAAGGTTATAAAGAGCATAATAAATGTTTAGTCAAAATACATTTGCTTATCCCCTCCAAAAAATTGATGACGTCAGCTCGAAAGTTTGCCGAATAAATCCTATCTAAACTGTACAAAATATGATGAGTCTGTACTTGTAATTTATCACTCCATTGATTTTTTTTTGGATTTGCATATACAGGGTGACTCAAAAAAATTAATGAATGCGTAAATTTATTTTATTGATTTACTCAGGAACTACAAAACCGAATTCTTTGAAATCCACTGCGAAAAAAAAACATAATAGGCATGCAGTCGTCACGTTTCCGACAGCGAGGGAAGTACTGTCGAAACTCTTTAGACCAATTTTTTACTCTAACCGTGAAAATTTTCGCAAAAATCCAAAATTGTATGACAACCTTTTACAAGTGACGGTGAGTATGACGATTTCGTGACGCAGTGTGTAATGGGTCCACCTCGGAGTCAGCCTATCTTTTTTTTTTTCTTACACTGTTAACACTATTATCTATGTACTTTTCTAATGTATAGAGGTTATCATAAATTAAATGTCCCAAAATCAAACTGTATTATTTTTCAAAGAAGTTGTATTTCTTGGACTGTACTTCAGGGGCGAGGGAAGTTCTGTCGAAATATCCTTCGAACAAATTTTTTGAAAATATTACTGTAAAATTTTCAACGATGGGCCGCATTTTGTTGCTATATGTATAAATTAATTCCCACTAAGGAAAAAATCAGCTCAAAAATATTTTTAAAACTAGAATCGTTTCAGCTGGCTTTTTTTGCAAAATCCGTCTTGAATTTAGAATTTAACGAAGAAAATTAGACATAAAATCCCTGGAATAACTTTCAGTTTCATCTTATGCCAGTTATATTGTAATATTTTGCAAAAAGTATGACAAAATTTTGACATTTTAGACAAATTAATGCCGTAATACTGTACCCTTCAGATGCCTGTCGATGTCTTATGACATTTTTACTTCCCGACAGTATTGAATATAAGAAGAGTGCAGTGGCTACTTTCCTGTTTTGTTGACGTTTCATAACCCCTAGCGTACGAAAAATAGGTCTCCCTTTTCCATCTGTCTCTCGTCTGTGTCGATTTATAATAGACAAATAATCTTGGAAACTACCGGACCGAGTGTTGTCGTATTTTATATTGTTACGAAAGAAAAAAAAAATGCATATTATTAATACTAGGATTTTAAGCAGCTAACAGACACTTTATGAACAGCATAATTTTTTATTACTTAATATTATAATCATAGCTAAGGCATTATTTGAACTTCGTATTACAAGTCCTCCAAATTATGAGTAATAATAATCAATAATTTATAATATTTCTGATTAAAAAAAAAGACATAATATCAATCAACCCGATTATTTGCAAATATTGCATTTAATTTACTACGTTGTTCTTGAAATTGATAAAAAAAATATTTTTAAATAGGGGGTTAGCGGGTCATATACAAAGACCATAAAACGAAGGAAAATTACGAAAAACGGTGCTGGAAAATGTCCAAACTTGTTCTCTTTCCAAGAAAAAACTTGATAATTCTTTCCTCAATTTTCATTCCGAACCTTAACGTTCTGCTTCAGTGATTTGTATAGCATCTGTTGCGCTGTACATTCTAAAGAACCTGACCCTTCGTATACGTGCCAGGAAGGGTAAGTCAGACACCTTCCGGTTCTACCTAGCACACGTTACAAACCTCCAGCACGTGCCAACGGAAAATATGTAGACGCATCCGTAATTTCCAACTGGCGATTTTATCAATTAAAAATAAAACACTCACAAACTTGGACACAAACTAGACACATAACAAATGCAAATAAACCGTACGTAGAGCAACATGTGGAGCATAAAAATAGAACTTATAATAATAACTTAAATCAGGATTCAGGTCGATTAAAGCAATAACGTGAAATTCGTTTCGCCATAAAATAAATGAATAAAGTCCCGGATGCGGCCCAGCCGAGTCTATAAACATTTTTTAAAAAAGCAATTAACGTTATGCAACGCATATTTCGGCAAGGTAAATATTTTGAAAGTCGTCCTTATGGCCTGCACTCCTCTTTAATTCAACCTAATCGCCCGCACTGACAACAAAACGAGTTATTTTTAAGCTCGTTGAAACGATTGCATAAATAAAAATATAATGGCAACGCAACATAAAAACTGTTGGCCGCGACAAAGCGACAGAAAAATGTAGGTACTTACAGACGTAAAAGCACAGTACAAAAATAAGAGCTTTATCCATGATTAGGGCACTCGGGAGCAATTAAACCTTAAGTACTTTCGTAACAATGAGCACTTTTAAATTCGCACAGTTTTATGCGCGCATGTGTCCTTAACGTTGCGTCTATTTTAAAAACTAACGAACCACTAACCCAGCACACTTGAAGTTCAACAGCGAACTGCCTTCGTTTCTATTTTAAAGTTTTAAACCACCATGCAGAACCACCGATGCATGATGTACATGTGGTCAATGGTCAATTGCGCCACGGTCTGCACGGACTTGGTACAATTAATTAATTTGATTCACCTATACCTTGCATCCTTTGGTGAATCATGCGTTTGTGCCGCCGTGAGGAATTTCGAATGGATGATTTGCGCTGATCGAATAAAAGGGTTTCGGATTTGTAAGGTTTCCAAATTTCGTTATCCAATTGGATGGTGATTAATTCCTAATCGCATTATCGATTCTTATCCTGTTTGCTTGTTCTTTGCGTTTTTCAAGATTATCCGTCGAGGCGATGTTGCGCTAAATTCAAGTGTACGCGCGAATTATTTATTTAGAGCTCTTTGCGGAATTGTCGATATCGGAGATATATTTATGAAATTAGCGTCCATAAATAGTTTAGACGCAAACGGAATGTTTGATGGCCATAAATAAACGGGAACGTTGTAATATTTAGAACAAAAAGTTGGTAGATGTATAATTTGTCCTATAGTTATTTTAAAACATGATCTTTCACTATTCGCATAACCGAATGATCGAAAAAACTGTTGTAAGATCCTGTCAGTGCCTAAAATTCTTGAAAAATACAAAACATTGTAAATCATAAAGAATAAAAAAAAATCGCTTTTGGGACCGATTCTTTCGAAATTGTTGCTCCGTGACCAGCAACACGCTATATTTTTGGAATGAGCATGCCGAGATCTACGTCCCTGAATTTTTTCACAATTTTTAGACAACTTTTTTAAAAGTGAAATTTTTTCCAGTGGTCCCCTCTTCGTCAAATTTCGGCCAATTTTTGAAATTATCGATACTTAATTAACATCGTGTTCCTCAAAGAAAAATATCTGTATTAAGTAAAAAAAAAGCCAAAAGATAAGCGTCACCCATGTCTCGATCTCTACTGTGGTGAATTTTTCATTGGTTGTCAGACCGAGGGGGGCAGCGTAATTGCAAAATCAATATTTCCTGTTTTCAATATGTTTTAAGTTTCTTGTTATGAAAAAAAGAGTACGTATACTAAGAAAAAAAAGCAAAATATAAGCCCCACCCGCCCGCCCTATCTCAATTGTGATGATTTTTTTATTCGTCGTGAGCCAAAGGGGCGGAGATTAATTGCAAAAAATTTGTATCTCTACAAGAAATTACCCTGCGAAACTTGTTTTGTTCTTGTTGACATAGTAAGGGAGAGGGGGTGACACAGTCTCCTTGTCTTCAAAATGGTTTATTTTTAAGAATATGACAATATTTAAAGCATGTTTTGATGAAAAATTCATCACAACTGAGATCAGGGCGGGTGGGCGGGGCTTTATTTTCGCTTTATTTTTGTCAATATATACAGGTTTCTTTCAACACCATACTTAAAAACATGTTTCAGACGGTAAGCTTTTGAAGAGAAATAAGGATTTTGCAATTAAACTCCGCCCCTGGGCTCACAACGAATAACATCATTACAATTGAGGTGGTGGTGAGTAGGCGGGGCTTAAATTTTGCCTGTTTTCCCGACATACGCAACAATCTTTTCATGACAAGATATTTAAAACGTTTAAAATGGTACATTTTTGTCGGGAAACATCAATTTTACAATTAAGCTCTGCCCCTCGGACTGACAACGAATGAAAGATTCATCACATTTGAGATTGGAGCGGGTGGGCGGGCCTTAATTTTTAACTGTTTTTCTTTGCATATATAGTTTTTTTTCAACAACATGTTACTTAAAAGCATGTTTCATATGTTAGTTTCCTGAAGAGAAATAAGCATTTTGCAATTAAGCTCCACCCCTCGGCTCACGACGAATAAAAACGTTGTCACAATTGAGATAAGGTCGGGTGGGCGGGGTTTACATGCCTGTTTTTTTAATTATATGTACATAGTGTTCTTTTAAAGACAAGAAACTGCAAATATGTGTAACAGGGTAAATTTGTAGAGCAGTGTGGGGGCTAAAATTTACCACTTTAAACATGTTTTCAGTTTCTTGTTGTGAAGGGAAGACTATGCATATTGAGAAAAAATGCAAAATATAAGCCCCACCCACCCACCCTATCTCAATTGTGATCATTTTTTTTATTCGTCTTGAACCAAGGGGGCGGAGCTTAATTGCAAAATATTTGTTTTTCTGTAAAAAATTACTCTGTGAAACATGCTTTGTTATTGTTGAGATAGTAAGGGAGAGGGCGTTATACAGTCTCTTTTTTTTTCATTTAAGTCTATTTTTAAAAATTTGATAATACCTAAAATGTTTTGATGAAAAATTCATAACAACTGAGGGTGGGGCTTTATTTTTGCTTTTTTTTATTAATATATACAGATATCTTTCAACACCATACTTAAAAACATGTTTCAGACGGTAGGTTTTTGAAGAGAAATAAGGATTTTGCAATTAAACTCCGCCCCTGGGCTCACAGCGAATAACATCATTACAAGTGGTGGGTAGGTGGGGCTTAAACAATCTGTTCACGACAAGATACTTAAAACGTTTAAAATGGTCCATTTGTTGTCGGGAAACATCGACTTTACAATTAAGCTCAGCCCCTCGGACTGACAACAAATGAAAAATTCATCACATTTGAGGTTGGGACGGGTGGGCGCCATCTCTACATATATAGTTTTCTTTCAACAACATGTTACTCAAAAAATATGTTTCATATGATAGTTTCTTGTAGAGAAATAATCATTTTGCAATTAAGCTCCACCCCTCGGCTCACGACGAATAAAACGTTGTCACAGTTGAGATAAAGGCGGGTGGGCGGGGTTTTTCATTTTTGTTGTAGGCAAATGCCTGAAAGTTGGATATAAATGTATATCTTAGAAATTTTTTTTATTTGAACTCTACTTGTTTTTGTCTATTTGCCTATTTTGATCCTTGACATTTTGCTTTTTTTGTGCCTATTTTGTTCTGAAATCTGGATTGTCTATACCCCTAAGCACATGTTTCTTGCGAAGGTCGAAAATTGATAAATCGAAAACTGAAAAAACCCAAAATTTAAAAATTTGATAAATGGAAAAATCTAAGAACTGAAAAATCAAAGAATCGAGAAATAAAAATATCTAAAATTTTAAAAATTGAAAGGCGGAACTCAATCTCAAAATTCGTATTTTTCTACAAGAAGTATTATCATATGTTCCAATTTTTCGATTCTTCAACTGGGGCTCTGGGAGTATTATTTACGCCACTGGTTTTGCGGGATTGGTTGGGCTGCACTTCAGGGACCCCGGAAGTTGTGTCAAAATAACGTTCGACCAATTTTTAAATAGTGTTTTATTTTCAACTAATTCATCAAAAATGTGTCATTGCTATATGTACAGGGCTGACTGCGCCCAATGGGATTGTTTACAAGACATTGGTAATCGACCAAGTCTCTCCTCATGACTTCATCTGTCAAAATCAACATACTTTTCCCTTCGGAATTAACCACCTTGGATTCATCTACCGTGGTATCAAAAGCAGAACGAACTTGCCACGTATAGGAAATATCAGGTGGATTACCCTCACCAGAGCACGTTAAAGAATTCGTTGTTCTGTTGAAAGAAACTTTGCACGTCGGTGCATCTGTAAAACCAAAATTGAGAATTGAGCAAAATTTTTGATCAATATTTTTCTTACAAAAAATATTAAAATATACGTCAATTGATTCAGTTCCATATTTATTTGAAACCGTACAAGTGTAGTAGCCTCCTTCTAATTTTGATAATTTTTCAAGTTGGAGAATCTCGCTTTTTGACACGACTTCTCCAGACGAATTTTTTGTCCAGACATAATTTAAAGGTTGTCCTTTGGCACCACACTCAACTGGACTAGGAATTTCGTCTTCCACAACGTCAACTATGGTGTCGGATACTGTTAAATTTTCTGGAGCAACTACAAAATGCCAAAATTCTACTCAAATTCAGTTTATAAATTCACTTACATACATTCAATTGTAACGACAGAAGTGAAACTAATTTTTGATTTTTCGTTAGCACTAGTACTGACACAGGTGTATTTTGACACAGGATCGTTTTTATTGAGCGTCATATTCCAGACCTAAAAATACAGAAAATGCGTAAGAATACGAACAATTTTTGTAAACTGGTTACCAAAATTGATTCGACAGATTCAAACAGGCCTTCTTCATCATCTGCATCATAAGTATCGTTTTCCACGTCATAAAATTCGTTGTTATCCAATTCTAAATGTTCACCATTTTTTAACCAAGTTATTGAACATTCAGGATAACACTCGACTCTACAAGTTAAAGTGACATTTTCGCTTTCGTAATAAACAGACAAAGAGCTAGGTGGAGTCTCTATGAAGCGTGGTGGTGCTACAATATTTAAGCTAATTTCTTCTGACGGCATGCTAAAACTGGCTTCATTTGCAACAAGACACATGAAAGTGCTATTACGATCTTCTAACGAAACGGAAGAAATATTCCACGTAGATCGTGAACTGTTGTGTACATTTTCATGGTTAAGAAACCACATATAAGTCAAATTTTTGGGAAAACCTGGATCGTGCACTGAACACTGGATTGTAGCGTTGGATTTCTTGGACACTTCTGAAGGAAAATAGTCAATTTTGGCAAAAGACGGAGGTCCTAAAATAATTTATCCTGTTATAATCTATAAGTGGTTGAAGTTTTCAAAAACTAACTCGGTAGAAACGTTTCGCAGGGTGTTCCCTCTCCTACAGAGTTTTTAACTAAACAGATGTAACTTTTAGAATTGTCACTATTTTCGTTCAAAGTATAAAAACTGCGTGAAAAAATAGTGATACCATTTATACTTTGTAGTGACCCAGAAGAATTGGCTTTCCATGTAAAAGTAAGACCTTGTGTATCTGTATCAGCACTACAGATTAGCGCACGTTGCATTCCGAGATTGCCAAAAGTAATAGAACAAATAGGTTTATCTAGAAATAGATCAATTATCTGTGGTTACCTAATAACTTACCAAACTAGTTACAGTGCGAAACGTGAAAATAAACATTCGCTGATTGGTTTCCGTGTTTGTTGTACCCTTCACAAGTATAGTTACCCTCTTCTGACTTAGATAATCTACCAAGAACAAGAGTGTCATCTACTGCTACCACCTCTTTTGTGGATGCTTTTCTCCATACGTAATTTAAACGAGGTTTTCCTTTCCCTTCGCATTTCACTGCTTTAGGAACGTGATTTTCCTTCACATCAACAAAAATTTCAGACACTTTCACATCTTCGGGAGGATCTACAAGCTGAAAAATCAGCAACTTTTTCGTGAAAAAATCTTACAAAGTACGTTCTAAAGTCACAATCGTGGATGCATTAACATCTGGACCATGCGACGCTTGCGAAACACTTCTACAAGAATAGATATCCAAAGTATCGTCTCGGATTTGATCTCTAGAAAAAGTCTACAAGTGAAGCGATTTTAGAAGATTGTATAATCCCAGTGATAGATTTACCAAAGTTGATTCCACCGACTCGAAATCATTTAGAAGAAAATCAGCTGCGTGTTCTGTTCTACTAATATTATATAGTGCATCAGTTGAGATCACTTGGTCTTTTGTTATCCAAAGAATTGGGCAAAGCGGGGAACATTCAACTCTACAGGTCAAAGAAACGAATCGACTGGATTTTAGTACACCTGTATAAGGACTTGGTTTGGTGAGAAAATTGGCACGTGCTTTTATGTCCGCAGAAAACTTGGCCGGAGTACTCGTTCTTTTGCCACTTGTGCCAAAACAACTGATATTTTTACGAAGTTGCACAGACGCTTGTTTGATTGTCCATTTTGATGTGTGAACATCCAGAAGACGATGTTTGTTCTTAAGCCAAACATAGGTGATGTTACTGGGACGATCTCCCTCTACAGAGCATTCTAAAGTCACTTTGTCTCCCTTGAACACAGTTTCAGGTTTTTGAATTATTTTTGTTGGAATGTCGGGATCTAAAAAATTAGCTGTTAAATGAATTAACTGTTAAGTAAAAGATGTAGGTACAAGAAATTTTGACTTCCAGAGGTTTCGATTTTGGGCCTGGTCCAACTTGATTGACACCTTGACACATAAAATTTTTGACGTAGTTTTCACTAACACCTATTAAAGTCACCACGCGAGACTCATTAGTAAGTAGCACCTTTTCCAGTTGGGGCTGGTAAAGTTTCTGGGTGATATAATCTTCCAGAAGGGAATCATTGACAAACCAGTAGATCTAAATAAATAGTTAATAAGTCAGTTTTTGCAACAAAATCACTTACTTTTGACAATGAAAGAGGATTTCCGGAAGTCACGTTACAACTTAAAGTTATATTTCCAGTCTTGAACGAACATGTTGATGGAAGTGATGATGTCATTGTGACTTCCATGGTAGGTGAATCTAGAATTAATCTTTAGTAGTATTGGTGATCCTAATTCGTATTAATTTAATTTTACATAGAACGTCCAAAGTTAGACTTTCTGACGTGGTATTTCCAACTGAATTACTTAACAAACAACTATAGTTTCCAATATCCTCTCTTGTAACGTATGCAATTATCAAAGACAAGTTACTAAGTGTAACGAATGTATGTTTTCCCTCGATTCTAGTCAAAACTTCTCCATTTTTGAGCCTGTAACAACAGTGTTATTATCTCGAAAATTGGCAACTTAAGAATACCAATTCGCGGTGACAGGCTTCAGTGGATTAGCATCATAGTTACAAAAAAGTACCGCTGTTTGATTTTTGTCTTCAACAAAAGTAGTTTGGATGGATGTTACTGTCACAATTGGCTTATCTAGAATTATTTGTGACTTTACAAATGTGACAAATAATTTATGTTAACAATACAAAGTACTTCCAAACGTAATGTTTTTTCTAGAGGAATGTCATGGTCTTCTAAAAATTTGTTAGTACCGGAACATTTCACACTTGCATGGTCGTGGTGTCGAGAAGCAGTGAATTTCAACATACTCGAGCTTGTAATAATATCACTTTTCTAAAAAGAGTCACATTAATGACAATTTTTCAATTTCGGGCGATTTTTACGTTAGTGGAGACTGTAGCTATTGATGGATCCTCTGTATTCTCTACCCGCTTGGAATTGTTGTACCACCTTATTTGTACCATGAACGTAGCTTTAACTTCACATTTAAGTCGAACGTGCATACCTTCTTCAACGTCGCCTGCTATTCCAGTTAAATCTATCTGGAAGGGTCTACCTGAAGCCTTAAATTTATACAAATGAAATTACTCTTTGGTAGTTCTAACTTGATACGGCTTTAGTGCATGGAGTACCCACACCCACAGAGTTATTAACATGACATTCATAGTTCTTCAAGTTGCGCTTAGTAGAATTCAAAATTAAGTAGCTGTAGGAATCTTTGTTGATGATATCTTCATGGACGTCTTTGTCGGGGTAAGTTAGGTTCCATTGAAACGTAAAATTTCTGGGATTACCGTCAGGTTTACAAACTAAAGCTTCTTTTTCGTCTATTGTTTCAAGTTCTATGAAGCAGCTTGGTTTATCTATCAAAACAGAAAAAACAAAATGATCTCGTAAGTCGATTGATCAACTTACATAAAACATTGAAATTTAACTCCGTAGTTGCAACCCCGTGTTTGTTAGAAGCTTCACAAGTATAATTATGTTCCTCAAATCGCGATAATTTACTTAAATTGAGGCTTTTACCGATTCCTTCTACAAACCCTGTGGGAGTATGTTTCCAGACATAGTCAACCTTTGGATTACCTTCCGCTGTACAGATTACAGGATCTGGAGTTTCATTTTCTGTAACATTTACAACGGTTTTTGTAGACAGGGTAATATTTTCAGGTGGATCTAAAATAGTTGTTTATTATTTTACTCTTCCAAACGGTTCAATTCTACTCACATTCAACTTCAAAATAAGTCGTCGAGTTAACATTACGAAAAAAGCTCTCGCTTTTACAAGTATAGTGTGATGGGCTACTAGTCTTATTTAAACATTGATTGGGCCAGTTTTTCAAGTTCCAAACCAAAGTGGATTTAAATGATTCAAAATTGTTTCTTTGGTCATCAGCTGGAACAATTTCCTCTTTTATGTTATAAAGAGGATTATCGGTGTCGATTTTCGCGTCCTCCTCGTACCACACGATGTTACACGGCGGATAACATTCTATTATGCATGTTAGAGAAATGTTTGTGTTTGTATATGAAAACCCATAATGAGGTTTTAAACTCATTATAAATGATGGAAATGCTACAACGTTCACAAACATATCAGCTTGAGAAATTGCACCTTTTTTGGTTTCTGTGATGCATGAAATGAAACTACGCGTGTCTAACGACGCTTCCTCTATGGTCCACTTCGATGTAGTTAAATTTGCTACTTTGTGACCATTTTTTATCCATATGTAGGTGACGTCGTCGGTTGGAGGCTCTGCTTCACAAGTTAGAGCCACTGGTTTGCCTTTGATGGCTTGTTGAGGGTAAATAGTTAGTTTCGTTGCAGAACTTAGAGACGCTGTAAAAATTACGAAAGAAAACAGTTGATTAAGAAATTTTGATTGTCTATTCTAAAATTAAAAATATGCGCTGATAACGTGGTCCTAATAAAAGAAGCAAGTGAATAATGGAATAATGTGGATAAATTCAAATAAAAACTACTCACCAAAGATAATAAAAATCACGTCTCTCGTAGTTGCTTTATTCATTTTGAAACCAGTTTTAGAACTTTTAATTTTTACTTGATATTAGTTTTAATTTCCGTCAGAAGTTATTAAGGTAGTGTTCAACGTTTAGTTAATAATCACATCGCAGTTAAACAATGATACAACTAAGTTTCCGTCAACTATGTCTTCACAGTTTATATTTATTTATTATCAAACTTGACCTGATTATTTGTTGATAGAGAACAAAATTTAAACCGGCTAATTCACTGCGGACAAAATTTGTTCGCTAAATATCTCGTAGTTTTAAGCATTAACTCGAAAAATTATGGAAGGGGAGAAATCAAACACCAACGTTTATTGGGAATTTTAAACAAAAATGCACACGTTAATAAACGTTAAAATAGACATCAACAGAGTCAGATCCATACTTATTAGAAACGACACAAGTATAATTGCCTCCGTCGAATTTTGACAACACTTCAAGCTGGAGAATCTGGCTTTTTGACACGACTTCACCAGAAGATTTTCGCGTCCAGACATAGTTCAAAGGATATCCGATAGCCTTGCACTCAACTGGACTTGGAATTTCGTATTGTTCGACGTCAACAAAGTTCTTTGACACTGTCAAATTTTGCGGAGCAGCTACAAAGTACTTAAGTCAACTGAAATCCAAACTGTAATAAAAATTAAAAAAAAAATGTGAAATTTCGAAAATTTTGTTGAAAATTGGTCGAAAATTGTGATATTTTGCATATTTTTTAATGTTTCAAAGGACGATTCTGGAAAAACCGTTGGAGTTATCGAAGAAATGAAAGCGGATATGACTTCTGCGGTCCGAAATCTACAAGAAAATGTATTAAGTGAAATTTCGAAAAATTTGTTGAAAATTGGTCGAAAATTGGGGTATTTTGCATATTTTTGAATGTTTCGAAGGACGATTCTGGAAAAACCGTTAGAGTTATCGAAGAAATGAAAGCGGATATGACTCATGCGGCCCGAAACCTACAAGAAAAAGTATTTTGTGAAACTTCGAAAATTTTGATGAAAATTGGTGGAAAATTGGGGTATTTTGCATATTTTTGAATGTTTCAAAGAACGATTCTGGAAAAATCAATTGAGTTATCGAAGAAATGAAAGCGGATATGACTTCTTCGGCCCGAAATCTACAAGAAAATGTATTAAGTGAAATTTCGAAAATTTTGTAGAAAATTGGTCGAAAATTGGGGTATTTTGCATATTTTTGAATTTTTCTAAGAACGGTTATCGAAAAACCAATGGAGTTATCGAAGAAATGAAAGCGGATATGACTTCTGCGGCCCGAAATCTACAAGAAAATGTATTAAGTGAAATTTCGAAAATTTTGTTGAAAATTGGTCGAAAATTGGGATATTTTGCATATTTTTGAATGTTTCAAAGGACGATTCTGGAAAAACCATCGGAGTTATCGAAGAAATGAAAGCGGATATGACTTCTGCGACCCGAAATCTACAAGAAAAAGTCTTTTGTGAAATTTCGAAAATTTTGTTGAGATTGGTTGAAAATTGGGGTATTTTGCATATTTTTGAATGTTTCAAAGGACGATTCTGGAAAAACCATCGGAGTTATCGAAGAAATGAAAGCGGATATGACTTCTGCGACCCGAAATCTACAAGAAAAAGTCTTTTGTGAAATTTCGAAAATTTTGTTGAGATTGGTTGAAAATTGGAGTATTTTGCATATTTTTTAATGTTTCAAAGGACGATTCTGGAAAAACCATTGGAGTTATGGAAGAAATGAAAGCGGATATGACTTCTGCGGCCCGAAATCTACAAGAAAAAGTCTTTTGTGACATTTCGAAAATTTTGTTGAAAATTGCTCGAAAATTGGGGTATTTTGCATATTTTTGAATGTTTCAAAGGACGATTCTGGAAAAACCATTGGAGTTATCGAAGAAATAAAAGCGGATATGGCTTCTGCGGCCCGAAATCTTCAAGAAAAAGTATTTTATGAAACTTCGAAAATTTTGTTGAAAATTGGTGGAAAATTGGGGTATTTTGCATATTTTTGAATGTTTAAAAGGACGATTTTGGAAAAACCATCGGAGTTATCGAAGAAATGAAAGCGGATATGACTTCTGCGGCCCGAAATCCACAAGAAATTGTATTCAGTGAAATTTCGAAAAATGTGTTGAAAATTGGTGGAAAATTGGGGTATTTTGCATATTTTTGAATGTTTCAAAGGACGATTCTGGAAAAACCATTGGAGTTATCGAAGAAATGAAAGTGGATATGACTTCTGCGACCTGAAATCTACAAGAAAATGTATTCAGTGAAATTTAGAAAATTTTGTTGGAAATTGGTCGAAAATTGGGGTATTTTGCATATTTTTGAATGTTTCGAAAGACGGTTCTGGAAAAACCATTAGAGTTATCTAAGAAATGAAAGCGGCTATGACTTCTGCGGCCCGAAATCTACAAGAAAATGGATTAAGTGAAATTTCGAAAATTTTGTTGAAAATTATTCGAAAATTAGGGTATTTTGCATATTTTTGAATGTTTCAAAGGACGATTCTGAAAAAACCATTGGAGTTATGGAAGAAATGAAAGCGGATATGACTTCTGCGGCCCGAAATCTACAAGAAAAAGTCTTTTGTGAAATTTCGAAAATTTTGTTGAAAATTGGTCGAAAATTGGGGTATTTTGCATATTTTTGAATGTTTCAAAGAACGATTCTGGAAAAACCAATGGAGTTATCGAAGAAATGAAAGCGGATATGACTTCTGCGGCCCGACATCTACAAGAAAAAGTATTGTGTGAAATTTCGAAAATTTTGTTGAAAATTGTTCGAAAATTGGGGTTTTTGGAATATTTTTGAATGTTTCAAAGAACGATTCTGGAAAAACCAATGGAGTTATCGAAGAAATGAAAGCGGATATGACTTCTGCGGCCCGAAATCTACAAGAAAATGTATTAAGTGAAATTTCGAAAATTTTGTTGAAAATTGGTCAAAAATTGGGGTATTTTGCATATTTTTGAATGTTTTAAAGAAGGATTCTGGGAAAACCAATGAAGTAATCGAAGAAATGAAAGCGGATATGACTTCTGCGGCCCGAAATTTACAAGAAAAAATCTTTTGTGAAATTTCGAAAATTTTGTTGAAAATTGGTCGAAAATTGGGGTATTTTGCATATTTTTGAATGTTTCGAAGAACGATTCTGGAAAAACCAATGGAGTTATGGAAGAAATGAAAGCGGATATGACTTCTGCGGCCCGAAATCAACAAGAAAAGATATTAAGTGAAATTTCGAAAATTTTGTTGAAAATTGGTCGAAAATTGGGGTATTTTGCATATTTTTGAATGTTTCAAAGGACGATTCTGGAAAAATCAATGGAGTTATCGAAGAAATGAAAGCGGATATGACTTCTGCGGCCCTAAATCTACAAGAAAATGTATTAAGTGAAATTTCAAAAAAATTGTTGAAACTTGGTCGAAAATTGGGGTATTTTGCAAATTTTTCAATGTTTCAAAGGACGGTTCTGGAAAAACCATTGAAGTTATCGAAGAAATGAAAGCGGATATGACTTCTGCGGCCCGAAATTTACAAGAAAAAATCTTTTGTGAAATTTCGAAAATTTTGTTGAAAATTGGTCGAAAATTGGGGTATTTTGCATATTTTTGAATGTTTCGAAGAACGATTCTGGAAAAACCAATGGAGTTATGGAAGAAATGAAAGCGGATATGACTTCTGCGGCCCGAAATCAACAAGAAAATATATTAAGTGAAATTTCGAAACTTTTGTTGAAAATTGGTCGAAAATTGCGGTATTTTGCATATTTTTGAATGTTTCGAAGGACGATTCTGGAAAAACCGTTGGAGTTATAGCAGAAATAAAAAAAATATGACTTCTGCGGCCCGAAATGTACAAGAAAATGTATTAAGTGAAATTCCGAAAATTTTGTTGAAAATTGGTCGAAAATTGGGGTATTTTGCATATTTTTGAATGTTTCAAAGGAAGATTCTGGAAAAACCAATGGAGTTATCGAAGAAATGAAAGCGGATATGACTTCTGCGGCCCAAAATCTACAAGAAAAAATCTTTTGTGAAATTTCGAAAATTTTGTTGAAAATTGGTCGAAAATTGGGGTATTTTGCATATTTTTGAATGTTTCAAAGGACAATTCTGGAAAAACCAATGGAGTTATCGAAGAAATGAAAGCGGAAATGACTTCTGCGGCCCGAAATATACAAGAAAATGGATTCAGCGAAATTTCGAAAATTTCGTTGAAAATTGGTCGAAAATTGGGGTATTTTGCATATTTTTGAATGTTTCAAAGGACGATTCTGGAAAAACCAATGGAGTTATCGAAGAAATGAAAGCGGATATGACTTCTGCGGCCCTAAATATACAAGAAAATGTATTAAGCGAAATTTCAAAAAATTTGTTGAAACTTGGTCGAAAATTGGGGTATTTTGCAAATTTTTGAATGTTTCAAAGGACGATTCTGGAAAAACCATTGAAGTTATCGAAGAAATGAAAGCGGATATGACTTCTGCGGCCCGAAATTTACAAGAAAAAATCTTTTGTGAAATTTCGAAAATTTTGTTGAAAATTGGTCGAAAATTGGGGTATTTTGCATATTTTTGAATGTTTCGAAGAACGATTCTGGAAAAACCAATGGAGTTATGGAGGAAATGAAAGCGGATATGACTTCTGCGGCCCGAAATCAACAAGAAAATATATTAAGTGAAATTTCGAAAATTTTGTTGAAAATTGGTCGAAAATTGGGGTATTTTGCATATTTTTTAATGTTTCGAAGGACGATTCTGGAAAAACCATTGGAGTTATCGAAGAAATGAAAGCGGATGTGACTTGTGCGACCCGAAATCTACAAGAAAATGTATTAAGTGAATTGTCGAAAATTTTGTTGAAAATTGGTCGAAAATTGGGGTATTTTGCATATTTTTGAATGTTTGAAAGGACGATTCTGGAAAAACCATTGGAGTTATCGAAGAAATGAAAGCGGATATGAGTTCAGCGGCCCGAAATCTACAAGAAAATGTATTAAGTGAAATTTCGAAAATTTTGTTGAAAATTGGTCGAAAATTGGGGTATTTTGCAAATTTTTTAATGTTTCGAAGCACGATTCTGGAAAAACCGTTGGAGTTATCGCAGAAATAAAATAAATATGACTTCTGCGGCCCGAAATGTACAAGAAAATGTATTAAGTGAAATTCCGAAAATTTTGTTGAAAATTGGTCGAAAATTGCGGTATTTTGCATATTTTTGAATGTTTCGAAGGACGATTCTGGAAAAACCGTTGGAGTTATCGCAGAAATAAAAAAAATATGACTTCTGCGGCCCGAAATGTACAAGAAAATGCATTAAGTGAAATTCCGAAAATTTTGTTGAAAATTGGTCGAAAATTGGGGTATTTTGCATATTTTTGAATGTTTCAAAGGAAGATTCTGGAAAAACCAATGGAGTTATCGAAGAAATGAAAGCGGATATGACTTCTGCGGCCCAAAATCTACAAGAAAAAATCTTTTGTGAAATTTCGAAAATTTTGTTGAAAATTGGTCGAAAATTGGGGTATTTTGCATATTTTTGAATGTTTCAAAGGACGATTCTGGAAAAACCAATGGAGTTATGGAAGAAATGAAAGCGGATATGACTTCTGCGGCCCGAAATCAACAAGAAAATATATTAAGTGAAATTTCGAAACTTTTGTTGAAAATTGGTCGCAAATTGCGGTATTTTGCATATTTTTGAATGTTTCGAAGGACGATTCTGGAAAAACCGTTGGAGTTATAGCAGAAATAAAAAAAATATGACTTCTGCGGCCCGAAATGTACAAGAAAATTTATTAAGTGAAATTCCGAAAATTTTGTTGAAAATTGGTCGAAAATTGGGGTATTTTGCATATTTTTGAATGTTTCTGTAGTGTTTCTTAAATAAAACTCCATACTTAAACTTGCCTTATTTAATACCCGCGATTATATACAAATAAAGAAACACAACTTCTCTAACTTAACGCTCTATTCGACGGCCATCATTGCTCTCCTACTCTGTAGCGCATGCTCTGCACTGCGTGCGCCCACACCTATGCAACTACCTACACCACAGTTTCAAAGGAAGATTCTGGAAAAACCAATGGAGTTATCGAAGAAATGAAAGCGGATATGACTTCTGCGGCCCAAAATCTACAAGAAAAAATCTTTTGTGAAATTTCGAAAATTTTGTTGAAAATTGGTCGAAAATTGGGGTATTTTGCATATTTTTGAATGTTTCAAAGGACAATTCTGGAAAAACCAATGGAGTTATCGAAGAAATGAAAGCGGAAATGACTTCTGCGGCCCGAAATATACAAGAAAATGGATTCAGCGAAATTTCGAAAATTTCGTTGAAAATTGGTCGAAAATTGGGGTATTTTGCATATTTTTGAATGTTTCAAAGGACGATTCTGGAAAAACCAATGGAGTTATGGAAGAAATGAAAGCGGATATGACTTCTGCGGCCCGAAATCAACAAGAAAATATATTAAGTGAAATTTCGAAACTTTTGTTGAAAATTGGTCGCAAATTGCGGTATTTTGCATATTTTTGAATGTTTCGAAGGACGATTCTGGAAAAACCGTTGGAGTTATAGCAGAAATAAAAAAAATATGACTTCTGCGGCCCGAAATGTACAAGAAAATTTATTAAGTGAAATTCCGAAAATTTTGTTGAAAATTGGTCGAAAATTGGGGTATTTTGCATATTTTTGAATGTTTCTGTAGTGTTTCTTAAATAAAACTCCATACTTAAACTTGCCTTATTTAATACCCGCGATTATATACAAATAAAGAAACACAACTTCTCTAACTTAACGCTCTATTCGACGGCCATCATTGCTCTCCTACTCTGTAGCGCATGCTCTGCACTGCGTGCGCCCACACCTATGCAACTACCTACACCACAGTTTCAAAGGAAGATTCTGGAAAAACCAATGGAGTTATCGAAGAAATGAAAGCGGATATGACTTCTGCGGCCCAAAATCTACAAGAAAAAATCTTTTGTGAAATTTCGAAAATTTTGTTGAAAATTGGTCGAAAATTGGGGTATTTTGCATATTTTTGAATGTTTCAAAGGACAATTCTGGAAAAACCAATGGAGTTATCGAAGAAATGAAAGCGGAAATGACTTCTGCGGCCCGAAATATACAAGAAAATGGATTCAGCGAAATTTCGAAAATTTCGTTGAAAATTGGTCGAAAATTGGGGTATTTTGCATATTTTTGAATGTTTCAAAGGACGATTCTGGAAAAACCAATGGAGTTATCGAAGAAATGAAAGCGGATATGACTTCTGCGGCCCTAAATATACAAGAAAATGTATTAAGCGAAATTTCAAAAAATTTGTTGAAACTTGGTCGAAAATTGGGGTATTTTGCAAATTTTTGAATGTTTCAAAGGACGATTCTGGAAAAACCATTGAAGTTATCGAAGAAATGAAAGCGGATATGACTTCTGCGGCCCGAAATTTACAAGAAAAAATCTTTTGTGAAATTTCGAAAATTTTGTTGAAAATTGGTCGAAAATTGGGGTATTTTGCATATTTTTGAATGTTTCGAAGAACGATTCTGGAAAAACCAATGGAGTTATGGAGGAAATGAAAGCGGATATGACTTCTGCGGCCCGAAATCAACAAGAAAATATATTAAGTGAAATTTCGAAAATTTTGTTGAAAATTGGTCGAAAATTGGGGTATTTTGCATATTTTTTAATGTTTCGAAGGACGATTCTGGAAAAACCATTGGAGTTATCGAAGAAATGAAAGCGGATATGACTTGTGCGACCCGAAATCTACAAGAAAATGTATTAAGTGAAATGTCGAAAATTTTGTTGAAAATTGGTCGAAAATTGGGGTATTTTGCATATTTTTGAATGTTTGAAAGGACGATTCTGGAAAAACCATTGGAGTTATCGAAGAAATGAAAGCGGATATGAGTTCAGCGGCCCGAAATCTACAAGAAAATGTATTAAGTGAAATTTCGAAAATTTTGTTGAAAATTGGTCGAAAATTGGGGTATTTTGCAAATTTTTTAATGTTTCGAAGCACGATTCTGGAAAAACCGTTGGAGTTATCGCAGAAATAAAATAAATATGACTTCTGCGGCCCGAAATGTACAAGAAAATGTATTAAGTGAAATTCCGAAAATTTTGTTGAAAATTGGTCGAAAATTGCGGTATTTTGCATATTTTTGAATGTTTCGAAGGACGATTCTGGAAAAACCGTTGGAGTTATCGCAGAAATAAAAAAAATATTACTTCTGCGGCCCGAAATGTACAAGAAAATGCATTAAGTGAAATTCCGAAAATTTTGTTGAAAATTGGTCGAAAATTGGGGTATTTTGCATATTTTTGAATGTTTCAAAGGAAGATTCTGGAAAAACCAATGGAGTTATCGAAGAAATGAAAGCGGATATGACTTCTGCGGCCCAAAATCTACAAGAAAAAATCTTTTGTGAAATTTCGAAAATTTTGTTGAAAATTGGTCGAAAATTGGGGTATTTTGCATATTTTTGAATGTTTCAAAGGACGATTCTGGAAAAACCAATGGAGTTATCGAAGAAATGAAAGCGGAAATGACTTCTGCGGCCCGAAATATACAAGAAAATGTATTCAGCGAAATTTCGAAAATTTCGTTGAAAATTGGTCGAAAATTGGGGTATTTTGCATATTTTTGAATGTTTCAAAGGACGATTCTGGAAAAACCAATGGAATTATCGAAGAAATGAAAGCGGATATGACTTCTGCGGCCCTAAATATACAAGAAAATGTATTAAGTGAAATTTCAAAAAATTTGTTGAAACTTGGTCGAAAATTGGGGTATTTTGCAAATTTTTGAATGTTTCAAAGGACGATTCTGGAAAAACCATTGAAGTTATCGAAGAAATGAAAGCGGATATGACTTCTGCGGTCCGAAATTTACAAGAAAAAATCTTTTGTGAAATTTCGAAAATTTTCTTGAAAATTGGTCGAAAATTGGGGTATTTTGCATATTTTTGAATGTTTCGAAGAACGATTCTGGAAAAACCAATGGAGTTATGGAAGAAATGAAAGCGGATATGACTTCTGCGGCCCGAAATCAACAAGAAAATATATTAAGTGAAATTTCGAAAATTTTGTTGAAAATTGGTCGAAAATTGCGGTATTTTGCATATTTTTGAATGTTTCGAAGGACGATTCTGGAAAAACCATTGGAGTTATGGAAGAAATGAAAGCGGATATGACTTCTGTGGTCCGAAATCTACAAGAAAATGTATTAAGTAAAATTTCGAAAATTTTGTTGAAAATTGGTCGAAAATTGGGGTATTTTGCATATTTTTGAATGTTTCGACGGACGGTTCTGGAAAAACCATTGGAGTTATCGAAGAAATGAAAGCGGATATGACTTCTGCGGCCCGAAACCTACAAGAAAAAGTATTTTGTGAAACTTCGAAAATTTTGTTGAAAATTGGTCGAAAATTGGGGTAATTCGCATATTTTTTAATGTTTCAAAGGACGATTCTGGAAAAACCATTGGAGTTATCGAAGAAATGAAAGCGGATATGACTTCTTCGAAAATCCAACGATTAATTCACTCACATTCTACTATAACCACAGCACTGAAACTAGGTCTTGATTTTATGTTAGCACTATCAGAACTGACACAGGTGTACTTTGATATAGGTTCGCTTCGATTGAGAACTTTACCAGGCAAGGCTGTTATGTTCCAGACCTGAAAATACAGAAATCACGTTATAAATTAATAAGGATTTCTAAAATAGCACCAAAATTGACTGCACTGATTCAAACAAATTTTCTTCATAGTTGGCACCAAAAGTACCTGTTTCCACGTAGTACAGTTTGCTCTTGTTTGTATCCAAATATCGATCGTTTTTTAACCAAATGATTGAACACAGAGGAAAACATTCGATTCTACAAGTTAGAGTTAAATTTTTGTTGTCGTAATAAACAGATAAAGAACGAGGTGGAGTTTGTATGAAGCGTGGTGGTGCTACAATATTTAAGTTAATTTCGTTCGACTGTGTGCTTAAACCGGCTTCATTCTTAACAAGGCACGAGAAAGTGCTATTACGATCATTTAACGAAACGGAGGAAATATTCCACGTGGATCGTGAACTATTATGCACACTATTTTTGTTACGGAACCAAAGAAACGTCAAATTTTTGGGAAAACCTGGATCGTCCACTGAACACTCCAATGTCGCGTTGGATTTTTTGAGCACTTGTGAAGGGAAATGTTTGATTTTGGCAGGAGATGGAGGTCCTAAAATAATTTTTCATATCACAGTTTACAAATTGTCGAGTACTAACTCGGAAGAAACGTTGCACAGGGTGTTCCCTCTCCTATAGAGTTTCGAACAAAACATATGTAGCTTCTAGAAAAGTCACTAGTATCGTTGAAAGTGTAAAAGCTGTGTGATTTCGTAGTGATAGCTTGTAAAGTTTGTAGTGACCCACTGGAAGAATTAGCTTTCCATGTAAAGGCAACATCATGTGTATCCGCCTTAGCGTCACATATTAGCGCCTGTTGTTTATTTAAATTGCCAAAAGTGATAGAACAAATGGGTTTATCTAGAAAAGTATCAATTATCTGTGGTCACCAAACAACTATCAAACTAATTACAGTGTGAAACGTGAAAATAAACATTCACTGATTGGTTTCCATGTTTATTGTATCCTTCACAAGTATAGTTACCCTCTTCTGACTTAGATAATCTATCAAGAGAAAGAGTGTCGCCAAATTCTACTACCCGTTCTGTGGATGCTTTTCTCCACACGTAATCAAAAGAGGTTTTCCTTTTCCTTCGCATTTCACTATTTTAGGGACGTGATTTTCCTCCACTTCAACAAAAACTTCAGACACTTTTATATCCTCGGGGGGATCTACAAGTCCGAATCAGCAACTTCTCCGTGTAAAGATCTTACAAAGTACATTCTAAAGCCAAAACCGTGGAGGCACTAACATCTGGATCATACAATGTTGGCGAAACACTTCGACAAGAGTACGTATACAAAGTATCATCTTGGATTTCATTTGAAGAAAAAGTCTACAAGTGAAGCGATTTTAGAAATTTAATAATTTCTAAAATAATAATCTACCAGAGTTGATTCCACCGATTCGAAATCATTACGAACGAAGTCAGCTGCGTGTACTTGTGTACTAATATCATATAAGGCATCAGGTATGATCACTTGGCCTTTCGTTAACCAAAGAATTGCGCAAATCGGGTAGCATTCAACCCTACAAGTCAAAGAAACAAAACGACCGGATTTTAGTACACCCGTGTAAGGTTTGAGTCTGCTGAGAAAAGAAGCACGTGCTAGTATTTTCGCAGAAATCGTGGCTGGAATACTAGTTCTTTTGTCACTTGTGGCAAAACAGCTAATATTTCTGCGAAGTTCCAAAGTCGCTTGTTTGATTGTCCACTTTGATGTGTGAATATCGAGAAGACGATTGTCTTTCAACCAAAAATAGGTGACATTACTTGGAACATCTGCATCTATAGAGCATTCTAAAGTAACTTTATCCCCTTTGAAAACACTTTCTGGATGTTGAATTATTTTTGTTGGAATGTCAGGATCTAAAAAATAAACTGATCGAGCTCTTAGAAAATAAAAAAATAAATAAATACAAGAAATTTTGACTTCCAGAGGTTCCGATTTTGGGCCTGGTCCAACTTTATTGACACCTTGACACGTGAAATTGTTAACGTAGTTCTCACTAACATCGACTAAAGTTACCACGCGAGAGTCGTTACTAAGTAGCACTTTTCCTACTTGAGGTTGGTAAAGCTTATGGGAAATATAATCTTCCAGAAGGGAATCATTGACAAACCAGTTGATCTAATTAAATAGTTAATAAATGAGTTTTTGCAACAAAATCACTTACTTTTGACAATGAGAGCGGATTTCCAGAAATTACCTTACAACTTAAAATTATTTTTATATTTTCGGTCCGGAAGAAAGCTACAGAGGGAAATGAAGATGTCATTGTAACTACCACATCCGGTGAATCTATAATTAATTTCCGTAATAATAATTATTTGTAACTCGATTACTATATATACGTAGAACATCCAAAGATAGACTCCCTGATGCGGTTTCTCCTACTGAATTACTTAACACGCACCGGTAATCTCCAATATCCTCCTTTGTAACATTGGCAATTATCAGAGACAACGTCCTCTGTGTTACAAATGTATACTTTCCGTTCATTCTTCTTAAAACGGCTCCATTCTTGAGCCTGCAACCACACGAAAATTATCCTGAAAACTTGCAAGCTATCGAATACCAACTAGCAGTGACTGGACTTATTGGATGCGCAAAATATTTACACAAAAGGACAGCAGTTTGGTTTTTACCGTCAACAAAAGTAGTTTCGTTGGAAGATACTCTCACGACTGGTTTATCTGAAATTATTTCAACTTTACAAATGTTAAAACTTGTTGTCACTGATAGTACAAACTACTTCCAAACGTATAGTTTTTTCTAGAGGAATGCCATATTTTTCTAAAATTTTGTTAGTAGCGGAACATTTCAGTCTTGCGTAACTATCAGTTCGAGAAGCAGTAAACCTCAAGAAACTTGAGCTTATAATAATGCCACTTTTCTGGAAAGGTTAACTTAATGACAAATTTTCATTTTCGGGGCGATTTTTACATTAGAGAAAGTTGTAGCGATTGTGTTTTTTAACAATTTGGAATTCTTGTACCAATTTATTTGTACCATGAGGGTAGTGGTAACATCACATCTCAGTACAACCTCAGCACCTTCTTTAACGCTATTTGACACTCCAGATATATCTATCTGAAACGGTTTACCTACAATCTTAAGGTTATACCGACAGTTTTTACTACTAGTATGACTATCTTAACTTAGTATAGTTCTATTGCACGGATTACCAACACCTACAGAATTACGAACTTGACATTGGTAGTTAGTCAAGTTGGGTCTAGTAGAATTCAGAACTAAATAGCTGTGAAAATCCGCATGAATAACAACGTCTTTTAAATCTTCCTCAGACGAATCTAGCTTCCAATTAAACCTAAAATCGTTAGGGTTTCCGTCCGCTTTACAAATTAAAACGTCTTCATTGTCTAATTTGTCAAGTTCTATGAAACAACTTGGTTTATCTATCAGTAAAAATAAACAAAAATTAATGTTATGGACACAAATAGATGACTTACACAAAATATTGAAATATAACTCTGTAGTTGTAATCCCGTGTTTGTTAGAAGCTTGACAAGTATAATTATGTTCTTGGTCTCTTGATAATTCATCTAAACGAAGAGTTTGGGTAGTCGCTTTTACAACACCTGTAGGAGTATGTTTCCAGACATAATCAACTTCTGGATTTCCTTTTGCCGTACAAGTCACAGGATCTGGAGTTTCATTTTCTATAATATTTAGAACGGTTTTCGTTGACAACGTAATGTTTTCTGGTGCATCTAAAATAAACGTTTCTTATTTTTCCCTTTAAAAGTGTCTACTCACATTCAACTGCAAAATAAGTAGCCGATTCAACATCGCCAAAACTTGTATCGCTTTTACAAGAATATTGTGACTGACTATCGTTCTTAATTAAACGTTGATTCGGCCAGTTTTTCAAGTTCCATACTAAAGTGGACTCAACTGATTCAAAATCGTTGGTTCCGTAATTGGCTGGAAGTGTATCGTTTTTTAAGTAATACAATGGATTATCGATGTCTATTTTCTTGTCATCTTTATACCACAGTATGTTACACAGGGGATAACATTCTATTCTACATGTCAAAGAAACGTTTGTGTTTTTATCAGAAAAACCATAATAAGGCCTCAATTTTTTTATAAATCCTGGACGTGCTGTAACATTGACAAAAATATCAGCTCGAGAAATTGAACCGTTTTTGGTTTCTACGATGCAGGAAAAATTGCTGCGTGTGTCTAAAGACGCTCTTTCTATGGTCCACTTGGAGGAAGTTAGAGTTCCTATTGTGTTACCATTTCGTAGCCATTTGTAGGTTACAGTACTGGATGGAGGCTCTGCTTCACAGACGAAAGTCACCGGTTGGTCTTTGATCACTTGTTTAGGGTAAATAGTTAGTTTCGTTGCAAAGGTTAGAGTGGCAAATACAGATGCTGCAAAATAACTTTGCATAACACAGTTGATTGAAACGGAAACATTAATTAAAACAAAATTCACTTACCGAGGATAATACAAGACACGTCTGTCATAGTGTTTTTATTAATACTTAAACACAAACAAGCTTTAGAAAAATTCTCAACACTGATAATTCTACTAATTTCTACTTTTAGCCAAGGTTGAAGCAAATTTTTGCATTGCATATCTTTTCACAAATGATATTTATGTATTATCAAATTTAACCTTGATTGTCGATAGACAACAAAATGTAAATGGTCAAAGTGAATGACGATAAATTCGGTTGCATAAAATACACATCGTGTTCTTGCAATAGTTCATTGGTCAAGGCTGCAGAAATCACTTCCGGCCTCATTTCTTCGACCACTTTAACCGTTTTTCCAGAATCGCCCATTGAAATATCGAAATTCTTAGACACCTTTTTCAAAAATGAAATTGTACACCTTGCATCTTCAGATCAGTATATTATTCACAACAACATACGTTTATAAGACACAAAATACTCCTACGAACTAAAAAACTTGTCTCTCCTTTTTGGGGTTGCGAGTGGTACCACCCCGAGGCGAAAGCCGATATCGTCCTGGTCGATAAGACGAACCAACAACGGCCAACGATATACTTCGCGATGTACTTTTTCCCACTGAATTACTCAACACACAACGGTAATCTCCAGCATCCCTATTTCCGACGTCCCTAATTATCAAGGACACGGTCCCCAGAGTTTCGAATATATGTTTTCCTTCGATTCTTCTTAAAACAGCTCCATTCTTGAGCCTGCAACAACACGAAAATTATCCTGAAGACTTGCAACCTAACGAATACCAGCTAACAGTGACAGGCCTTGCAGGTTCAGCGTAATATTTGCAAAAAATAAAAGCAGTTTCGCTGCTCCCCTCAACAAAAGTAGTTTTGTTGGAAAATACTCTCACAATTGGCTTATCTAAAATTATTACAAATGCGAAAACTTGTTAGACGAAACTAGAGTATGGGAACTTTAACTTACACAAAACATTGAAATGTAACTCAGTAGTTATAGTGCCTTGTCTATTAGAAGCTTCACAAGTATAACTATGTTCTTGGTCTCTTGTAATTTTACCTAAACGAAGAGTATTGCCCCTTTCTTGTACAACCCCTGTAGGAGTATATTTCCAAACATATTCAACTTTTGGATTTCCGTTTGCCGTACAAGTCACAGGATCTGCAGTTCCATTTTCTATAACATTTACAACGGCCTTTGTAGACAAGGTAATATTTTCTGGTGGATCTAAAATACACGTTTCTTATTTTTCCTTTTAAAAGTGTTTATAAATCCACTCACATTCAACTGCAACATAAGCAGTCGATTCAACATCAAGAAAACCATCACCGCTTTTACAAGTATACTTTGATTGGCCATCGTTTTTAATTAAACGTTGATTGGGCCAGTTTTTCAAATTCCAGACTAAAGTGGACTCGACTGATTCAAACTCGTCGCTTGGGTCATCGACTGGAATTTGTTCGTTTTTTATGTAATACAGAGGATTATCGGTGTCTATTTTCTGGTCATCTTTATACCACAGTACGTTACACAGTGGATAGCATTCTATTATACATGTTAGAGAAACGTTTGTGCTTGTATGAGAATAGCCATAGTAAGTCAATAGATCTTTTATAAATCTTGGAGGTGCTGTAACGTCGACAAAAATATCAGCTCGAGAAATTGAACCAGTTTTGGTTTGGACGATGCAGGAAAAATTGCTGCGTGTGCTTAAAGAAGCACGTTTTATGGTCCAGTTCGAGGAAACTAAATTTCCTATTCTGTTACCATTATGTAGCCATTTGTAGGTTACGTCACTGGATGGAGGCTCTGGTTCACAGACGAAAGTCACTGGTTGGTCTTTGACCACTTGTTGAGGGTAAATAGTTAGTTTAGTTGCAGCAGTTAGAGCGATAAATGTGATTGCTGCAAAAGAACCATTTTTACCAAGAAATGTTAATTTAGGGGTAGTAGAGAACTAAAAACATGGGAAGTTATGGAAATCGACCTAGCAACGGAAGTCCAAATCAAAAGTAAGAAACTTATGTCGGGAATCAAAGGAAGCTGACATAAAGCTTTGTCTTAAAATTTTGTTTCTCTTCTAGGTCAGATTATTTTTTCAAAAACTTTTAATTCCTACATTTGCCTCTGTAAATATTGATTTTAAAATTGTAATCTTTAATGTAAAAATCGTACCAACTACTAAGTATTTTGTGTTGCATAATCCAGTCCATTAAAAAAAAGTTTATGGAAAAATATTTGGTATGAACACATAAAATAAAAATAAGAAACCACTTACCAAAAATAATGTGAGACAAGAATGTCATGGTGTTTTTATTTACTTTCGAAAAATTTTGAAAACTGATAATTCGTTAAAATATTTTTAGTTAAAAATGTCAGTCTACAATGAAACAATAGCGATTCAAACGAATTTTTGCATCCTATCTCTTTGCAATTTATATTTATGTATTAATTATCAAACTTAACCTTGATTGTTTATTGATAATGAACAAAATGTAAATGGCCAAAATTAATGATAATAAATTCGGTTGTACAAAATACAAAAATAAAATGTCACAGATATCTATCATGCGATAGGCAAGGTTAGAAAAAATCGTGTAATCATTTTAAAAAGTTTATTTAGCATTGTTACTATAAGTAATTGAATCTCGTATACTAAATCACGCAATATTTTTTTGTTATAACCACAGTCGCCTTATTTGTTGGTAAAACGACAAAATCTCGTCCAAATCCATTCTTTGCAACTCGTTTTTCTTACTTCTGATTTTCTGAAAAAAGAAACAAAATTAGCAAATAGTCAATAATAGTTAACATGGCTTTACTTTCAACTTAGCTGTAAAATCTTGAAGATCGCTATTGAAATTCTGTTCAAAAAATTTCTTCAACATTTCGTTCATAAAAGGGGCACATTTCAGTTTTAAAATATTGGTATCTTTGTGATAAAAAACAACAATTTTCTCACTATTTACTGAAAATTGAAGCTCTATAACACGTTTACTGTCGTTAGCAACCTCTGAAAATGACTCTAAACTTAACCTATGATACGAATTTCTAATAAAAGTGGGCACAAATCCGTGTTTATCAAAATTACATTTGAATTGGTTTTGTACATGAGGGAGTGTTCTAAGACAAGTTAAGTTTTTGTTACCATTGTATAATTTGGTAATTTTTAAAAAAGTATCTACAACAGTATTTAATTTTTTCTCGTTGTATGATTCAAAATAATAAGAAATGTCGACGTTGATAGTAGAAAGATCCAACATAATCCAGTCATCTTCACAACTGTAAAATAAATGTACATCTACTACACATTCGTACATACAATTATCAACAGGAATAATTTCCATCACAGAATTATCATCACCAATAGACGCAATTTTACTTATACAAAAATTCTCGCCCCTGACCACAATTTGAAGTTTCCACTTTGTACCAATCAACTTTGCCAAAAGAGTCTTAGTTAAAACCACTTCAATCAAAAAGAAATTACTACTTTTACACCCATTAAAATCTAGACGATAGCTCAGCTCATCATATAAATTCTCAATTTCTGTGACACTCCCAAAGACTTTCACATTCACGTGACTTATTTTACACCGAGAAGACGCTAAACTGAGTTTCAAAAAAGTGACTGCATCTTCAGCTCTCTGAATTTCCCTTTTCAGCTGCTCAGATTTCTCAAATTCGCTATTAATTTCGCCCAAAATTTCCTCGTATTGCTGAAGCTGATATCCCGAAATAATGTCCATCTACAAAAACAAGCATTTATTATTGTTAGTATGTTTGCGCTCGGTTTACATTTCACAAAGAATTTAATATTTTGTAGATTGTTGGCAAAGGAAATAAGTGAGGTTAGTTTGTTGTTGATAGTTGTCAATGTAGGTTTCTACGGGAAGTAGAGATCTGCATCGCCAGATGGCACCACCGTACTCATTTTGTCGTTACCCGGTTTAGCTTCTTTCAGTTCTCTAAACAGGTTTCTTTCTGTTTCCAGTTTCCCTTGGGTTTCGTGAAGTTGGAGGGTTAATTCGCAGCTGTAAAACCAGATATCGGTAAGTTTGTTACATATTAGTTATAATTCAAGGGTTTTATTTATTTATACTAGAAGTTTCATCTAGTTTGTGTCAAAAAACTGAACCCGAAATTCGATTTCCGTGCCCAACAAATTCAATCAGACCTGCAGACATACAGTGTGTTTTATTTTAAGGTGTCTGTGCAAAAAACAGCAATGACAATAGGTTTAAGTTAGATTTGTTTATTGCGCTTGCGCTGTGAGGTTATTTGTCGTGACCTTGAATTGTCACGTGTTCACTACTTCATTGGTCCAGTGATACGAACACGAAACCAATCAGTAGCATTATTTTATCAGTAATATTCATCGATCGATTTATTTTTTACTGCAATACTTACTTTTTAAATTCCAGTGACGTCACTTGTTGCTGCAGCTTGAAGTATTCTTCCTTCAGTTCAAACAGCGTTCTCTGACTGTCACCGAGTTCGTTTTTCAAGCAGTCAATTGTTTCCTAGAACAAGCATAGTTTTTTTTTCAATTGTTACAAACTCCTTGACGTTTTTTTTGACGTGTCTTTGTAAGTCTCGAACGTCCCGGCTTTAAAATAAACATAAAAAATACGCACCCGTCCAAAATGAACAAAAACGGCGTTAATACGCGACTCCCCAGTGAATCAGCACGAATAAATCTTCCGGAATATGCGGACTCATAAAGTCATCATGTGTAGTACGCACTGGCCCACCGCCACATGGGGCAAGAACGCTGTGACAGCTTAAACTGCTAATGGAGGGTTTACATCTGAGATTTATGTCGCGTGATTTCTCTCCAACATTCCCGTTCCATTTCTCGAATTGTGTTTGCATCCCCCGCTTTACGGCACGAGACAGATAAGGATAACAAATGAGATAAAAACTATAATCAGTCTTGCAGGCTAAAAGCAACCAAACAAATTGGCGGAGGCGTGCAATTCACACTTGTACGATGACGTCATCGGATTTTTGGATAGATTGCGAGATGTTTTGTTACCTTTGCTGATTTCAGTTCCTCTTTTTTCAGTTCTAGTTGTGCTGCAGCTTTGAATGCTTCCCCTTTTGAAGAGTCTTTCGTGTTGCATATCGCCTGCATTTCCTGTTTCATTTGACTTAGCTAAAAAGTGCCGTTAGTGTTTGATTTAACATTGTGAATCGTACCTCCTCCCCCAAAGCGGCGTTTTTGTCCAAAAGACAAGCGTACTGCTGCTTCCCTTGCTCCAGTATAAGTTCAATCGTCCTATTGTCGTTGGTCAAGCGATGGACAACGTCCTTCTCGTTATTAATTTCAAGTAGTAGTACGTGAACTTGTTGCTGAAGATTATCCTGAAACCGCCACTAAGTAGACGTGATAAAACTTCTCGAAATTTACCCTTTCTGTCGTCACAACATTGACATAACTCTGCACTTCTTCCAACTTTCTGACAACTTCTTGATGCGCCGCCCCTTCTAAGCTAAATTTTTCTTTCAATTGGACGTGTTTTAATTTAAGATCGTCGTACGCGGTGGCCAATTCGTCAAAGCGAACTTTTTCAGAGCGCAGATTTTCGGTCACTGATCTCAGCTGACCCGAAATGCTGTCGATTTCTTCTTCTATATTGGCTTTCTGTTCGCTGTATCCACTACGGAAACGATTTTCATACCAAATGTACACTTCGTGCGTACTTACAAGATGATTTCGTTTGTTTGCCTTTTGAAAAACGTTCGTTCTTGTTCGCCTCGCTTGATTAAATTTTTTAGTTCGTTTCTTAGGGTTTCGTTTTCTTTAAGCGCGTCCGCCAATTCCTGGGTTACACTGGTGAAGTCCATTCTTGCGTTGGTTAATTCTCTTTCGGTTTTCAACTTGGAGTTTTGCACGTCTTCTAGTGCACTAGTTTGGTTGATTTTTTCCGAAATTAGTGGTCTACTTACACTAAATGGTTCTCGTAACCGATCAAAATCTTCGTTTGGTCGTCGATTTGTTTTTGTAAATGGCCGCATTCTTGCTCCAGTCGTTTGATTTCGCCTTCTTTTTCTACAATCCCTCTGCTCAGTTCGTTGATTTCGCGTTCTTTGTTTCGTATTGTACTTTGTGATTCTATGTATATAGATTCTTTGGTGGTGAAACCAGAAATGGCTTCTTTATATTCTAAAATGACGCGATTTTTTTAGTTAATCGTACTGTTTTAACGCACCAGTTAGTTGCTGTTCTTTCATTTTGTTCACGTATTCCAACTCCAGCGTCAGTTTTCCGTGTTCTTGCCTTAACATCTGTAATTCGTTGTTGGATGCAGTTAATTCCGAGTTGAGAGTAGCTGCTTCCGTTGATTTTGATATCATTTTATTTTCGGTAACCTATTAAGCACTAGGAGAAAGAAGAAATGTCAGGAGGAAGATCTTACCGACAGTTGTTTCCGTGCGTCGTCCAACTCGCTTTGCAATTTTTGCAAATTGTTTTTCAAATACATGACGCTACTTTCCGCTTCTCCTTTTTCGTTGCGCATCTGGAAGACAGGAAAAATTACAAATACAACTTACTCGGACCACACCTGTCCTAATAGCTTCCCGAGTTTTTTAATCGTTTTTTCACATTTTGCTACATGGTTGCTGTGGTTTTCTTCTTGTTGTTGCGACTGTTCTTCCTGGAACTGGATTCTGTCTACCATTCTTCTCACTTCCTCTTCTTTCTTGTTAACTTCGTCTAGAGTCTCATCGTGTTGCTTTCGTAATTCGTGGTAGTGTTTCTCCAGTTCTTTGTACTACACACACCAACTACTGACTTTCTCGTATCGAATCGCACTCACCTTCTTTTTGCTCTCCTCTTGCATCAATACGAGACAGTCCCTCTGCTTTATCAAACTCTTAAAATCCTTCAAGAGCTCCCTCAAAGCCGTCCGCTCGTTTTTCTGCATTTCTTCGAATATTTTCAACTGGCTTCTTGTATTGGTTTCCAGCTTTTTCTTCGACTCGTCCAAGCGCATGTTCTTTTTGAGCTCGACTTCCAAACAGTCGCTTAATTTATCCTTGACGCTTACGACTTCGGAAAGTTGCGCGCACAGAGTCAGCTTCTCTTTATCACTGTCAATCTGGATGTGGCTCAACTTTTCCAGACTCTGTCGCAGTTCCAGTATCGTCATTTCCTTTGTTTCCACTTCGGTTTTCAGTTGTTCACCAATCTGTTTGTTGAATTCGGCTACGAGCTATCAACACGTGGATTTACACGTGCAAAAAAAGCAAAAACTTACGCTGAGTCTGTTCGTTTCTTTGCTCATGTCGGCAACAGCTCCTTCCAGTTGCTGGATTCGCGAAACCTCGCACTTCAAATGGTGGAACACAGTTTTTAAAATGTTCTTTTCCTCCAAGTACTTTAACCGTTCGTTTTGTAAAGCTGAAAGTGTTTTAGTTAAAGAGCGACAGAGATGTTGATAATTGATATCACTAGTGATAGTTTGATGCTCCACCGCTAACTGCTTCTTGATAGCTTCATTCTCAGTAGTCAAAACCTTAAGACCTTCTTGCAAAGTGGTCAAATCTTGTTGGTACGCTTGCTGGATTTGGTGCAAATTTTGATTCTCGTAGTCCAAATTGTGGAATCGCTCGGATAGATGCTTTTGGTCGTCGATGATCTGGTTACACCGAAGTTTCAAATAATCTAACTTCTCTTGGCTCGATTGAAACTCTTTGGTCAAATTTTCGGTCCCAGACTGTGAGGTTATCCGAACGAGTTCGTCGATTTGACCAACGAGGGACCGGTTTTGCATCTGTAGGTCATTCATACTGACTTGATTATCGCTTATAGTTTTCTTCTTAGCGCACATCTAGAAATTGTGAGTAATCATAACGGGAGTTGATTGTTACGCCAAACCTCTTCACGCAGATTGATGTTCTGTTCAGACATACTTTCAAGCTTCGCGTTCAGATTAACAAGTTCCTGCTTGAATTTTCGGCACTGCATTTCTAAAACACTTACGTCTATCGATTCCGAGCCTCCGAGCTTTTTACTTAAACTGTCTAATTCGTTCGCCGATTTTTGTAGATTTTCTTGCAGGCGTGCGTTGGTGCTTCTTAATTTGTTTCTGCAGAGGTTCTAGTTGTAGTGGAAAATGGGATGTCGGATTTTGGGTGATCTTTGAAACATACTGAGGAAACGTATCTTTGGTAAAAATAGTAGTTTTGGGTTTGGTGATTGTAAGAGTTGACCTCAGTGTGCTCTAAAGATGACAGTGGATTTATGTTTGAATACTTACACGTCTTGAGCAACTATCGTCAGGTTTCTGTATGCAGTGATCATTGCTAGCAGGATTTGTCCAACTCGGGAACGTAGTTGGTAGATTAAGTCTGTCAAGCAAGGGTTTTCAGACTGCAACTTAATAAAATGTGAATATCAAATCCTATCTGATACCCCACCCCTGGATTTTCTCCAGACCGGAGTGAAGAGACCTTTGTTTTCGTTTTTAAACATCTCTAAACATTTAAATACGTCGCGCGGCAACCATATTTTATCAGTTTTTGTTTAATACTTAAAAGTCAAACACATTTTTTTGTATTTTTCCTATATTCTGTTATATTTAAAGATCCATTTTGGACAATGGCGGTACAACAAACAAGTTCGCGATCCGTAGCGTCAGCTCCTACGAGATTGACGTTTAAATCGGAAGAAACTGACAACTCTGGCTCTGCTTATCTTAATGACTCTATTAGTCTTTGTAAGGGTGTTTTATGTTTTAATTTGCTTTACGAAATTCCAAATCTAGTGATGAGTTCCAGGGGGGTGATTAAGAGCTGTTTCGTGAGTGTGTTATCTCGATGTGTGGATAAATTAAATATGCTGGCAGGAATGTATGCCTCAGTCGCCGCACTCCCGGTAGTGAAAGAGATAACATATTTGAGCACACAAGAGAGGTACAGGCAGTTTGTGGTACTCTATTGTTGTTGAGTTCTTTTTTAGGTACGGGGGGGTGTCCGAGAGCAACTACGATAATTTTTCGTTGGGTGCTGTATACACAGACGTACATAAATTTCAGAAAGAAGTAGCACTTATTTTGCACTTGTTGGAGCTTTTTATCGAGGAGGCACGAAAGTGGGGTACCGTGACTGTGGGTAATGAAGCCATGCGTACTCTAGAACGAATGCGAAAAGAGGAAGACGAAATTATGGAGTGTGGAAGGGAGAAGCAGAGAATAGTGAATTCCATGAAATCGGCGCTGAGAAATGAGAGAGATTTGAGTGTAGGTGTGATGCACACTTACAACAGCAGCATTAGAGATACCCACGGCTCTGGTCTAGATGAAATGGGTATTCTTTGAAATGATTCGTAGAACTGGAATTAGCTTGTTTTATACTTCTAGAACGTGTAGTAACCGAAGTGAATTATGTGAAAATGTGGGAAGAAGCTAGATACGAACAAAACCTAGAGAAACTCCAAAAGACTGAAGCTGCATACCGCGTGGTTCTTGCAACCATGCAATGGAAAATTAATCTGGAGCAAACTTGCCACGAACAACTGGGAAAATTTATTCTTGAATCGCAGCAAGTAGGTTTAACCAAAGAGCTAAGTTACTGTTGATTTTACTTTGGCAGGATTACATGGACAACATACAGTATTTAATGGACAGCTACGACGCTGCTTTTGAGCAAAAGGAAACACAATTGTATGACTTGAAGCAGATGATTGAGAAACAGAGGAATGATTTCGAATCACTCAACACGGAGTACAAACGCCGCGCACAGCTCATCGAAGAGTTGTTGGAAATGAAAAGAAAAAAGCGCGAAGAAAAGCTTTTACTAGCACAACAAACCGCAGCCGTCGTTAAAATTCAAGTAAAATTAAAAAATACGTTTTTGATATTTTTAATAATTACAAAATAGTGCTGGTGGCGAGAGGTAATGATAAGACGAAAAAATCGTAAACAAAAGAAAAACAAGGGAAAACGGAATGGTAAAGGAAAAAAGCGATGACCGTCGAATAATTGTTAGGTGTTATTTTTTTAAATAAAATTAAAAAAACGGAAAATGAAAATCATTACCCTACCTGTAGTTCCGGCCACACGACCGCAATAGTATACTCCGTCAACTGGTACTTGAAGTCTTGAAGGTCTTGGAGAATTAACTGAACGGTAGAAACGGCTTCGTTGATTAGCTCACCCTGATAGTTCGTCTGGGTCTCCAGCTTGGTTTTTTCGAAGTGGTTGTAATGTTCCATTTTTTCCACCTCTCGATGCAAGTGATAAATCTGTGATTGTAAATTCCTTCTTTCATCTTCTAGAACGTCCTTCTGGTGTTGCAGCTTCCCCAGCTCGTCTTCAAAATCAGAAATAACTCCTGTTAAAGCAACTAGCTTCTTTTGAAGCTTCTTGTTGTTGTCGATAAGCTGCTTGGCGTAGACTTTGCCGAACGATTTCATGTGAAGAAACCGTTTCGGGTACGCGTTTTTCCTAAACGCCAGCTTTTCGCACTGTCTGTTTAGATCTTCCAACTGAAGCTCCAAGGCTCTGTTGGTTTTAACCAGATAGTTTAAACGCTTGGTTAAACTGTAGTCCTGCGCTTTGAAGATCTCTAGTTGCTGGAACCACATTTTATCGCCCAGTACGTTGACTTGGCACTTGGAGTCGTACTGGAGAGCGAAGAATTCGAACGTAGCACCAACTACAATCAATAATTCTAGTAACCGTTATAGCAGTGAATTCATTTTTACGTAGTTCTTTGCGCATGTCCTCGTTCACGACGTACTTCTTCAAGAGACAGACCACGTATTGCTCGCTCAGGTGTAAATTCTGTAAGATATCTTGAAGCTCGTGCATCCCGGTGATGAGCTTGAGGTTGTACTTCGGCCTAAAATTTTCACTGAAAGCTCTTCTAAATTTAAATAGAAAACATACATGTATGCTGTGGGAACTAGCTTGTTCATAACTAGAGCTTTGCTCTCGTTACTGGATGAATCACCGAGCTTATTTTTGGGTGCTACTTTCATACAACTGCTATTAGACGATCTCATGATTTTTTTTAAGAAACCGCGTTTCTTTTTCTTCGGATGTGGTCGCTGGAAGTTGATTTTGATCAAGTGAGGTACCAACCGCATACTTACTTTGCAAACAGGGTTGTGCGTCATTTCAGTTGATAGTTGGTAGTGAGCAAGTTCTTGGTCCGAGGACGCGCTTTCCGTTCCAAAGCGAATTGTCGAACAAGTCTCGATTTTTTTGGTTATCTTCATTTTGGGTCGGCCTGTGTGCTTTTTCTTCACGAGAGTCGCGAAAAGAGACTTTTTTGTTCTTGTGGCGTTTTGGTTCGTGGCTTCGACACTGTTGGAGCTTTCGCTCGATTCGGTTTCGTCGATCATGTCGTTTTTTAGTATTTGTTGGATTTGGTAGACGTTGTGGTCCTAGAAGGAACGAGTGAGAGGATGTATTAAGATGTAACGGACGATACCCCTGCGTCTGTTCCCACGTTACCACACTGTCTGCAGTTCATTCTGTGGTCTGTGATGAAATAGCACAAGTTCCAGTAAGCGAATGTCGCATAAACGTGGTATATGTTGGCAATGAAAATGTACTTCGAACAGTGGTTAAAGTAAAAGTTGGCGAAGAGAATGAAGCTATTAATTCCCGTTGAAATGTGTTTTATAATGTTTCCGACGTGCGTTCTTTGCTTTTTGTTCTCAGACGTGTTACAATTTCGATAGCGCAACGTGTAGCTGCTGAAACTGGAGTAAATCGAAAAATTAGTAAAACTCTTTCGCTTGCCAACAATCTGCAAGTGATCTTTTATTTCTATGGAGTAAGTGGAAGTACTGGGATTACCTTTCTTTCATACATCGCAATTTTTTTCAAAACGTGTTGACACTTTGACGCGGACTTGTCGCCAAGGATACAGAGCAGTGTTTTACAATTAGTGAAAAAGTGTCAATTTGTGTTGTATTTTTTTACAAAAATGGTCAAAACTTTCACAAATATTTGGCTAGATGTTGCCGAAACGTCGTTTCAACCAGTTAACTTGGTGTCAAGTACGGATACCATACACCAATACTCCGAACCTCACAGGTCGGCAGATGAGATTTCGATCATCGCTAGTGTTCAGCGAATGATCGCCACAATCCCTCACGACGAGGCAGAGGAGTTCAAATCACCACCAGAGAGATCTTTTTCCAACATTTTTACGAACACCAAATACTTCAAACCCGCTTTTATGCACATCCTGGAGCACTGCATGACCGAGCTGTTGATTATTATAGGTGTTAATAAACCCCAAGTTGGAGAAATCGAGACCACACCGGTCATGTACATACCCATACATTTGAGGTGAGTAGAATGTTTTCAGTACGACGGATTTTCCTTAACGAACCATTTAGGTTCGATTTATCAGAAAAAAATTACACGAACGTCGCACTTGACGGAAAATATACGAACATGCACAAACTACAGAAGGATGTCAAGGACGTCATGTCAATGATCAACCAAGTGTACAACGAAATGGAAATTTTTTCTACGTGTACGGCCTTGGAAACTATGGTCAACATACAGCTGCATATGAAAGATGACGAAGAACATTTAATGGCGCGTTATCAAATGTTGGACACCATTTATAAAAATGTGCAAGCTGAGCTTAGGAATTACGAGAAAAACGTGAGGAGGAAGATATTCAAGGAGTTGGATGATCTAGCAACGGAAGCCACCCATGATTTGAAAGACCTTTCCGGTAAGAAGAGATTCTGCTTCCGGTTACAAACTTGACGTCAACATTTTTTTTTTTTTAATGAAAGACGTATTTCAGCACATATTGAACATTTTACTGCTTGTCACACACTGTTGACGTTATTTAGTTGTAAAATCGGGAGATTAATTTTAAAAACTGAGTTTTTTAACCTTTACGTGATATAACAGAATATGTAAACGCGAAAACCGAGTATGTTCAAAAATGGCAACAGTCCAGAGAGGAACAAAACTTGATGCGCCTCCAGGGCAGAGAAAACTTCCACAAATCTACCACCGAGCATTACGAACACGAAAAATACTGCGAATCGATAATACATGACAGCGTAGCAAAATATTACAATGAAGTGAAAGACGTAAGTACCGTGTTTATCCTGTGCAGGGTCCTAATCGCGTCCTAGGATTATTTTAAACAAATAGAAGATCTAATGGCGGCGTACGACAAAGATTTAGAAGATAGAGATAACACCATCTATCAGATGAGACTGCAGTTAGAGAAAGTTCAAGAAGAAAAAAATCGACAACAAAAATTGTATGAAGACAGGAATAAAGCAATGGAGGAATGGATAGAGTACAAACGAAAGAAACGGGAAAAGATTGCAAGACAGTTCCTGAAAAACCGTGCCGCCACAAAGATACAAGTGACTATGTGGTGTGAGGTAGTCATTTTGATTCGTTTTTTATTTAAGATTTGGTGGAGGCAAGTGATGGTGACGAGGAAGTTGGGGCCGTATAGGCCGAAGAAGGGTAAAAAGGGCGATAAGAAAAAGAAGGCAGGGAAAAATAAGAAATAGGCGCATCGGAGTGCATAAGTGTATTTTTTTTGTATATTTTTTATTTATTTTTAATTTTAATGTATGTTTTCAATATATACTTTTTGTTTGAAAAAGGGGTTCTACTAAAACAGGAATATTAAATACAATTCTTTATTAAATAGCATAAGGGCTAAAATTTATAATTTACATATCTACAAGATGATACAGAGAAGTGAAAGGTAATAATAACTATACAAATTTGTCTATTTTTACTGTTCTATTTGAATACAAACGTTCAGAAGATAACCGCAGCACCGCACCAAATTTTAACAGGTTTTTAATGGACGTCACATTTCACTTTTATAAATAATTCTTTGGCACCGTAGGTCCGAAATTATGCAAATCGTGAGTATTACAAATGTTTTGAGCGGTTTTCGAGATTTGCACAATTTCTCGGGTTGTTAAATACGCAACTATAACTAAACCAAAATAAAAAAGAACATTCAACATTAGCGAAAAGATATAAAAATGTCACAATCATTATTACAGTTAGTGTTACAAATGCTTCGAAATTAAGCCTTAGCCAGCCCCGTGCTTAACGTAGGTAACCAAACTGTCGGCACTTTCGGAGGCTAACAATACTGTGTAAAAATAGATAAAACAACAATTAGAGAATGAAGTACAGCAATAACAATACATTATTCAATCATGTCGATATGTCTATGAAAACGCTTAAACATTATAAAATTTTAAACACAATATTTGAAATATAAAAGTTTTGTTTTATTTACATTAGTTACAAGAGGTCGTCGTTGGCCTTATTTACTTCTTCCATTCTGTTGTTGTTTTTGTTCCTTTTCATGGCAGCGTAAATGGAGGCTGCCTTGTAATTTATAGGGCCGTATTTGTAATCAACGTCTGCATATTCTAGGTCAGTGAATTCCGGCCGGTAAGGCTGAAAATGAAAAATCCCCGTTAGTGCCAACATCAAAAACATAAACGGAACTAATGAGAAAACTTCAAGTACAGAAGTCTGTTATCTGAATCGCAAAGCTACAATAGTCACGCTAATCATGCCTGTAGCCCTGCAAAACTCTCTATGCTAATTGTTTCTGTTAATTCATTTAATCGTAAGAAGCTTGACGTTAATCACTTATTCCTACTTCACTCTGGTCTAGCTAAGCCTAAAAGTAAAGTCGTTATCGCAGTTTGAGACCAGCAAAGAGTAATGGGTTTGTAGATAGTCGCCGAACCTTATAGATTTGCTAAATGGTTTGTAAATAGATACATCGATGTGGTGCTTTGACGGTGGGAACCACACACGAACAACAAAAGATGGAGATGAATTTAATGGGATGTGTGCTCTAAATTTACAATTAACAAAAGAAAAATGTCTACGACTAAATCTCTAAAACATTACCTTAGAAAATATAGGTATCACTACCAGTAGTGGTTGTCCCATTAGTCTAAAACAAAATTTAGTTTTAACATAGAGTTTAATTGTAGATTCGAGCCACAATTCTGTACTTAATCATGTGATTTTTAAGTAACAGTTGATGGCATTAGTTGTGAATTCAAACTGAAAAGGAGCAGAAAAATCGTGTTAGTTGAAGCGAAGCTAGAAATTTTGTTATAAAAAAGGCTACAGGATTATTCTAAATAAGTTCGAAATCTAATACGAGGAGTTGTAAAGTAGCCGGTTGTACGACATTTTTTTATTCGAATATCAATCATCTATGTTCTTAGATATTCTTAATAATTAATAACGATACTAAAATTCTGAAAACCCTAAATTTAGATCAAAATAACTAATTAAATGCTTATATTTTCTGTTTTCTTTGTTCTGTCACCGAATATAAGAATTATCGATCTCGTTCGTCGGCTATTTTGTTACTTGAACGCCACTTTTAAGCTAAAATCAATGGCGGACACAGAATTTCACTATAAAGTTGATACGTTTGCTTGGATTTTTTTTATAGGTCGATCGCTTCGGGAATTAGTCTTCAAACTAATCGTTTCTTTATTGCAACTTATAAAAGGAAACAAACAGGAATTCGGCCCAATAAAAAAAGTTACGAAAGTTTGGATTAACATTTATCATTCGCACTGAATTACTGGTGGCCTACGTATCAGTCGACGAAAATACCGAAAAACTTAATTTAAGATGACTAAAACTAAAAATTTTCGTACAAAAAAACAAATTGAACTTTCGTGTAATATTGTGCATAGCTTCCAATTGTTCACTGACCTTACTCTATATTAGTAAAAGTAGTATCCTAATCGTATGTTAAACGTCAATCTCCTGTCCTACATCGTTAAAACTAAGCGTTGCGTATTCAGTCTTTGGCTTGGACTTTTGCGTTTTGCTTTGCGACGAAGAGCTACTTTCATGCGAGCCCTTCTTGTTAGTCTTAGGCATGTCAAGGTCGGCGTAGACCACCCCGTTCGGCTTCTTGGAGCTCCTGCCCAGCACCGGCTGCGGGTACTGCAGCTGCACCGAGCTCTGCACGCTCTCGGGGAAATTGAGGCCGCCGTGGTAGTCGCTGGGTCGCATCACCACCAGCGGGCCCTTGGTCTTCTGCTTGGGCTTGTCGCGCTTGTGGTGGCGCGAGCGGCCCTCGGGGTAGTCCGACACGTAGCCGTTCTTCATGAGGTCCTCCTCGTGGACGTTCCGGATGGGCTGGAAGTAGCTCTCGGCCGTCTGGAACTTGAAGCTGTGGCACTTCTGCAACGGGATTTGGAAGTGCTTTTTGTGCTTTGGCTTCGACGAAAACGACTTGCTCTTGGGCAGGGGCTCGTTGAAGAGGGCTCGAGGGATGAGCTTCGTGTGCTTTTGGTGCGGGATGGTCGCCGAGTATTGCGGGGGCAAGCCGACATTTATGTGCTTGTAATGCGGGGTGGTTAGTGTGTAAAAAGCGTTCTGAAAACGGTAAGTGGATTAGTCTCGAAGGGTGGGGCAGGCCAAGGCGACGAATATCAAGCGGACACTAATTTTTATTACTTCGATGGACAGTCTAACCTAGCTAGGGAATGTTGACACTAACTAATTACGGGAGGATCAAGAGAATTGGACACCGGATTGACTGGACTAAAGAGGCACAGAAAAAATTTAAGGAGCGAAACACTGATTTTAGGGAATCTAAAGGAGTTGAAAGAGTAGGAAGCTTGTGGTCCATGATATGAAGAGGTAATAGGTTCGAGTTGGCTTTTGTAGATCCCCAAACCTAAGACAAGAAACGAAAATTTTCGCCTTGACCGGCCTAAATTAAAACCTAAAAAGCAAGCAAATAAAACAAACCTGCTGATTAATACTAGCAACATTTGGACTCCACTTATCACTCTGTGGACTTAGTAAGGGCATTTGGGGGATCAAGGGTAGGTTCTCCTTACTACTATCATCTATTTGAGTCAGATTATCAGTAGAATTCTTCCTTTTGGCTTGGATTTGCAAGGAAAGGGCACCTTTGGGACTTTCGGTCTTTGGTTTAACGAAATTAGGACTAACTTTGAGCATGGGGGAGCTCTTCAGAGCTTTCATGGCTTCCACTTTAATGATACCCGAGGAATCCGCCGAGGGATTCACCTTCGGACTCACGCCCACCAGTCGTGGTGGAATTTTGGCATCAGCCGACTTTGGTTCCGCTTTCGAATCATTCGAGGAATGAACCTGAGCCTCTATCACCGAAATCTCACTCTCCAAATTCTCCGAACCGTCGTTCGAGCTATTCGAGACGTCCGGATTCGGAGAAGAGTTAGAGTTCTGAATTTCCTGAGACACGTTTTGGTAGATTATGTCTTTTTTGCGATGTTTTCGGCACCTGGGGGCCGGCACAGGCAAGCTTTTCGTCTCGGATGGCTCAGGGCTCTGTTCGAATATCTGTATGCTGTCGGTTAAGTCTTGATACTGCGGTTTTTCCTCGGGCGGTTTGAGATCACCGAAAACTTTTTTAGGCAGCGCGTACACGACGGGACGCTTTTTTGCGTGTTTCTTGCAACGCATCGAATAGAACGTCGGGGAGTAACATTTGTGCTTCTTCAACTCCAAGGACCCGAAACGTTTATCGTTATGAGGGTCCGTATTCGATACCTGCGCTTTATTTTTATTCTCTCTTGTTTCGTCTCTGGGTTTCTCAATTACCGAGATGTTGATACCCGAAGCTGTGCGCCTCACGTCCGTTTCCCTTCGTCCCGCAACCCTTGGAGGGATACTGAAAGGGTTCGGAAGCAAAAACGGATTAAAATTTAATATCGGCTGAAAATTACTCTGGAATCTGAAGGGTTGCGTGACCTGTTGACTCTGCGCGTATGGAGTCTGCCTTTGCAAATTTCCAAAATTCCACTTGTTCAAGTAGGGATTGCTCCTGTTGAAACTGAATCCCGGAAAAGCGGTCAACTGATGCATTTGCTGATTGCTCTGGAAGCCATGGAAGGATTGGTGGCGCTGTATAGCTTTGTGGCAGGGGGAGAAAGGGGACAGGGGTTTCGCTGCGGGGGTGAAATTACGCGTGGTTTCTTGAGTGAATGGAGCAATGACTGAAATTGGCTGCGAACACACACATGCAAATTAAACGACAATCAAAATAATAATAAAAAGCACACCCTCTTTATGGTTATGGTCGCGCGGAACGTAACTCACTTTATTTGGTGGGTTCTGCATGCCGTGGAAGGGGAGGTTTTCGTAAAATCCTTTGTCGTGATCATTTGCGGGGTCTGCTGAACCGCCAACCGGTGGAGCAGCCCCTAATCTCGTCTTATCTCCTGCAGAGGACGGGTTGGGTGCTGTAGCATAAAAAAGTGCCGTTTTAAACTGGGTTTATGTCTCGAAATGGGCTAACGCTTACCTAATTAGTAATAGGGCACGGAAATGGGAGGGTTTTTTGCGGAAATATTTTTATTGTAATTGTGACGAACGCTATTCACCGCGAACTGACAACGACTACATTTTAACGATTAGTCAGTGACAAATAAATTTACTTTTATCCGCCGGGAATGGATATCCCACAATATTGATCAGCTTTTAAACAGGGTATGTGGTGATGACAATCACACAATAAATTTAAATACATTTAACTTTTGTTTTGATATTTGGTGTATATACGCAGCAGATAAGAAAGTGGCCTACGTCATCAAATATGGCCACATCCACGTTTTAAATTATAGTAAACCTTATATGAAAACTTCAACTAATCGTTACCATAGATGTACTCTGTCAACCCGAGAGGCAACCATGATAGGTAGTATCCAGATGTTTACTTTTATATACAGGGTGTTTTTGAAATACACTACCAAAAGAGAGCAGGTAATTGGTGATGATAAATAGAACTAATTGACAAAAAATACTTTATATAAAAGTTTTTTCGTTTTCGAGATAAAATTAATCGAATATTCGGTCAAAATTTCCAATACGCCACTGTATTAAAGGTAATTCAAAATGCCATCTTGTTCACTTAGCAACAATAAAAATTTTATTTGTCAGGGTACTTTTGTCAATTTTGTGTCAGTTGTATTAAAATGGTTTACACAAATGCTGAATTAACTGATATGGTCCTACTGTATGGAAGGGCCCTTGGAAACGCTCGTGAAGCACAACGTCTTTATAGGGAAACATTTCCTGGACGAATTGTGCCCGATCATCATACATTTACCGCTACCGTTCAGCATCCTAGAGACAACGGTGAATATCGTCCCCAAATGACAGACCGTGGCCGACAGAGAACTGGAAGGACATTAGCTGCTGAACCTGAGATCTTAAATGTGGTAGAAGAAAACCCAAATATCAGTGTCAGAAGGCTGTCCTACAGAGTTGGTGTTTCCCCATTTGTCGTTTGGCGTACATTAAGAGAACAAGGACTACATCCGTATCATTTGCAACGAGTACAAGCTCTCAAAGAAGCAGATTTACCTCGTCGGATTACGTTCTGTGAGTGGTTATTACAAAAAAATGATGAAGATCAACAGTTTATTGGAAACTTGCTGTCGACGGATGAAGCAACATTTACGAGAGACGGGGTATTTAATTGTCATAATACACACGTTTGGTGTGATGAAAACCCTCATGAAATTCATGAGGGGCACTTTCAAGAACGATTTACCGTAAACGTGTGAGCAGGTATGGTAGGACATCACTTGATAGGTCCATATGTTTTACCTCCACGGTTAACTGGTGCTGCATATCTTAATTTTTTTAATAATACGTTGGAAAATCTTTTAGAGGATGTACCTTTAGCTACCCGGAGGAATATGTGGTATTTACATGATGGAGCCCCTGCCCACTATACACATGACGTGCGGGAATGGTTAAATCAAACATTTCCAAAAAAATGGATCGGAAGAAACGGTCCAGTATAGTGGCCTTCTAGGTCACCAGATCTAAATTCTTGTGATTATTTTTTATGGGGGCATATGAAGCAATTAGTCTATGCGGCACCTATTAATTCCATTGAAGAATTGACAAATAGGATTCATGATGTTTCGGCTACTATCAGAACAAATCCAGACATGATAAGAAGAGCTCAAGGATCATTAATTCGTCGAGCTCGGGCATGCATTGCGAATGATGGTCGGCATTTTGAGCAATTTCTATAAAAAATAAAACGTTTTCGTTTCACTACTCGCTTCTGTAATTATTCAATCTTAATCTAAAAGGCAAGATTACTTTTCAAAATCCAAGGATTTTCGACTTGTCAAATCTGACTTTACCTTTGCTTACTATGCATTTTGATTCAAAATAATTCTAAATTCGTTGCTAGGTTTGTATTCAAATTAAATGCAATCAATTTACGTGGATATTTTCATCAGTGGTGTTCTAAGCAGGTGGTTAGAGGTGATTTTTTTCATCATTAAAAAAAAATTGAGACTTACTCAATTCGATTCCTTAAGGATACCAAAGACCTTCATTAATTTTTGGTAACGTATTTCAAAAACACCCTGTATAACAACAAATCTATTCAATTTAGTACTACTCAGTCCTAGAATCGCCGAACAGAGTATATAAGTACTTACTGGCTGCACATCCACTCAACAAGGTCTTACTGTATTAACTGTTCGGCGATTCTAGTACTCATAAACCAAAAATGTGATCAGTTTTATGTTCTGACAACTGTTATATTTTTTCTTCTGTTAAACTAACATATTCTATTCTAAATAGGAAATAAGTCGTTAAATTTTCAAAAAATAACTGAAAACTACTACCAGCTACAAGAAAACCAAAGCACGTACCAAATCCTGGCTTCTTCCTCTTCCTCGAGTTGGTGTTGCTGTCGGCGCTGGGCGTGGTCGGCTTAATTTTTTTATAAGTGACGACTGTCATGCCATGCAAGAACACAAACAACACAATAAAATATCGCGATGTAATCAAGACGAATGGTCGTTTTTACCTCCACTAGCTCCCTCAATAATGCCACTTGGGACGCGATCGCGTCCGCTAAATCCGAGCAGATCCTTTAATCTTTGCAACCTGGCATAAACTTTGGATTTGTTCCTTTTGTATTTAGAGAGGGTGCTAGAAACCGAGGTCGTCCGGAACGGCGTCGAATCGACGCTTAATTGGCTAATGTTTACGTTGTGCATTTTATTGATGTGCACCAGGACGCCCGGTTTCAGCGGCCACTTTGACTGAGTTGCACTGTCGGGTGACTGACCATCGGGCCTGATGGGCGAAAATTTATGCCAAGTGAAAGAGCATGGGTGGATGGGCGACAACGGGGCCAATAAGCGATGTGGACAAACACAACATGGAACAAAATAAAAAAAGAGAGCTGCGTTAGCGAGATCAACGGGGGAGGGGTGGTACGAGTGACAGGGGGGTGGGGGCATGTATACTGTGTGGCGACTCTTTATTCCGATAAACGCTTTCACGAAGAATGGTGTTTTTTGAATTATATGTTTAGATGGCTAGATAATAATTTTTTAATTCAGAAATATACAGCCAGGTTGTGAGGAAGCTGTTCTGTTATGTTCATTTTTTTTATTAATATTGACTGACATATATGTTGCCTAGTAGCTTAGGATCATTCCAGCTCCTGTAACAGATTTTTACTTCCCGAGCGTAAGCAAAGGAAGTATTGTAATCGAGTCCGTCGGCCGACTCTCTACTTTTACGTTTTCTCGATCTTTCATGACCCCTAGAAGACGAAAAAATAGGTCTCCCATTTCCGTCTGTCTGTCCGTCTGTCCGTCTGTCCGTCTGTCCGTCTGTCCGTCCGTCTGTCCGTCTGTCCGTCTGTCCGTCTGTCCGTCTGTCCGTCTGTCCGTCTGTTGTCACGGATTTTTATTAGACAGATAATCTCCGAAAGTACTCGACCGATTGTTGTGAAATTTTGTACTTATATTAAGAATATCATGTAGATGGTAAAACGCTAACCAAAATTTGTCGAATCATCCCCACCACTAAAGCGATGACGTCACTTCAAAATTGTACATAGTAAATGGGTTTTCAATTGTATAAAATAACATAGTCCTACACATGTAGTTTACAACTCTGAATCGACTTTTCACCCGAAACGTCCAGATTTTTGGAAAAAAAATCAAAATTATAAAACAACATTTTGAAATTTAATTTTTAATCTGCTAACCAGAATGCTTTGAAATGTTGCAGATGTTTTAAGGCTATAAAGAGCATCATAAATCTTTAGTCAAAAAATATTTGCTTATCCCCTCCAAAAACTTGATGACGTCAGCTCAAAAGTTTGTGGAATAAATCATATCTAAAATGTACAAAATATGATGAGTCTGTACTTGTGAACTATCACTCCATTAATATTTTTTGGATTTGCATATACAGGGTGACTCAAAAAAATTAATGAATGCGTAAATATATTTTATTGATTTAATCAGGAACTACAACACCGAATGCTCTGAAATCTTGCAGATGTTTTAAGGTCATAAAGAGCATAATAAATGTTTAGTCAAAATATATTTGCTTATCCCCTCCAAAAACTTGATGACGTCAGCTCGAAAGTTTGCCGAATAAATCATATCTAAAATGTACAAAATATGATGAGCCTGTACTTGTCATTTATCACTCCATTCATATTTTTTGGATTTGCATATACAGAGTCACTCAAAAAAATTAATGAATGCGTAAATTTATTTTATTGATTTAATCAGGAACTACAAAACCGAATGCTTTGAAATCTTGCAGATGTTTTAAGGTTATAAAGAGCATAATAAATGTTTAGTCAAAATATATTTGGTTATCTTCTACAAAAAACTGATGACGTCAGCTCAAAAGTTTTCCGAATAAATCGTATCTAAAATGTACAAAATATGATGAGTCTGTACTTGTGATTTATCATTCCATTCATATTTTTGGATTTGCATATGCAGGGTGACTCAAAAAAATTAATGAAGGCGTGAATTTATTTTATCGATTTAATCAGGAATTACAAAACCGAATGCTTTGAAATCTTGGGAATATTTTAAAGTTATTATAAGCATGGTAAACTTTTGTTCAAAATGTATTTGTTCATCCCTCCTAAAAAAATTGATGACGTCACCCTTAAATTTTGCTGAATAAATCCTATCTAAAATGCAAAAAATATGATGAGTTTGTACTTGTGATTTATCATTCCATTCATATTTTTTAGATTTTCTTAAGAGGTGGTTCAAAAAAATTAATGAAGTCAATTTATTTTATTGATTAAATTAAAGGCAACACTTATTATTAGTATTACACCCCAACCAACCCAATTTGGTAGACACAAAATTTGTTAAAGGAAAAACTCGGTTGAAACATAAGGGTAGCACGCTGTAACAGATATGTATTGTTGGTTGCATATCCTTCATGTGTTAAGATGTTTGTAAGAACAAGTCAGTTAAATAGAGACCTTCAGAGAAGACAGTTGTTTCCTTCCCGGCTCCCAAATACAAACACATGACATGGCGCTGCGAAATGGAGAAGAATCCTCGTAAATCACCTAAGTGACCAGTTTCACGAATCTTTCAACAAAGTGCTAATAACAAATTACAAATTCGACATCAACATGGACAAAGGAATAAATTCAATGGACATGACCGGCAACCTCTCAGAAAATTGGAAGAGATGGAAGCAGAAATTTGAAAACTATTTAATTGCTAGCGAAACCAACAAAAAACCAGAACGAGTCCAATGTGCACAGCTATTACACTTTTTGGGAGAAGATGCTCTTTCTATCTACGACACATTTAAATTCAACGACGAAGAAAAGGACAAACTTCAAGTGCTCCTTCAGAAGTTCGACGATTATTTTATACCGAAACAAAACCTAACCTACGAACGTTATAAATTTCTAACTTTCAAACAAGGAAATCAAACCTTCGAACAATTCATCAAGGAACTCAAGACACGTGCGAAGCAGTGTAAATTCGATACATTAACCGACGACTTAATAAAAACAGTACTAATTTGTGGGATGAACGATAATATGTTACGTGAAAAGCTACTTCAAAACGAAGATAAACCTCTTCAGAAAGTGATAGACAGTTGTTTGCTATGGGAAAATACAAAAATTCAAAGTGAAGAACTTTCCTCGAGAACCATCCATGACGTCAGAAATCCCAAGGCCAACGTGCAGAATAAGTTCAGTACACGTGCACCGACAAACGTCGCTTCTGGAAAAAGTACATCATACTTGCCGGCGCTCAGAAACAAAGAACATGGACCGACTCGACAACAATTCCAGGAATGGGCCGGGACCGGATCGAATTCAGATAAGTTCATAAGAAACTGTCGCAACTGTGGGAAATCGCATTTAATAAATTCATGCCCTGCATTTAAGAAAATTTGTAACTCCTGTAAACGTCTTAATCATTTCTCGATAATGTGCCGTAGTAAAAATAAAAAGATTAATGAATTAATTTCTCAAAACACCGATGTTAATGACGAAAATGACACTTTTCATGTAAATCAATTACAAATTGACTCTGTTAATGACAATAAAAGTAAATCTTGGTTTTTAGACGTAACCATTAATGAGGTAAGCTCGTCCTTCAAAATTGACACAGGGGCAGAAGCCAATATTATTCACATTGACAAATTTCGTCTACACCATTTAAATTCTTACTGCATTACAACCTGTCCAGAAGTTTTATTTGACTATAATAATAAACCAATCCAGGTGTTAGGTAAATGCATGTTAACAATTTCATATAAAAATAAACATGTAAAAGCCCAATTCTACGTCATCAAGGGCCAGCGCAATTCTCTCCTTGGCTTTACCACGTCTGTAGAATTAGGTTTAATTAATCCAATTAACACGATTATCAATTCAACTTCTAACGTAGTTAACCAGTTCTCACAAGTTTTCAGTGGTATTGGCCTTATCGGTAAACCTTACACAATTGAAATTGAACCAAATGCTATACCTGTAGTCCACCCAATCAGAAAAATACCTTTCGCTCTGGAAGAAAAATTCAAAAAATGTTTAGAAGATTTAACGAAGATGGGAATCATTGAACGAGTAGGAACAAGTACCGACTGGCTAAATTCCTTCGTGATCGTACGCAAACAAGATAATTCGTTAAGGATATGTCTGGATCCGAAAGACTTGAACAAGGTAATTAAGCGACATAAATACAAAATTCCAACCATTGATGAAATTACAGTCAAACTACAAGGAGCCAAATTTTTCACAACGTTAGACGCTGCCAGTGGGTTTTGGAACATCCCATTAGACGAGGCAAGTAGTAATTTATGCACCTTTGGCACACCATTTGGCCGATTTAAATTCAAACGCTTACCATTTGGCATTGTGACAGCCAGTGAAGTATTTCAAGAACGATTTAAAGAAATATTCAATCTAGAAGGAGTAGAGATATATGTTGACGATATTTTGATTCATGGTAGGACTAAGGATGAACACGATAAAAGACTTTTTCAAGTTCTAAAAATCGCACTAGAAAATAACATCAAATTCAATTTCAACAAATGCAAATTTGGAGTGAATAGGATCACTTATTTGGGTTATGAATTTTCGGAAAAAGGAATGCACATAGATGAAGAGAAATTGAAAGCAATCGCAGACATGCCACCTCCAACGACAAAGCAAGAATTACAAAGATTTTTGGGCATGGTGACATACGTCGGAAGATTTATAAAAAATTTATCAGAACAAACTGCACCACTAAGGGAAATACTCAGAGATAAAAATTGTTTTGTCTGGAATCATGCACAAGAAGAAGCCTTTCGAAATCTTAAAGTCATGCTAATAAACAGACCCTGTCTACAATACTTTGATCCAAAGGAACCAATTGTGTTATCCGTTGACGCTTCGAAATCTGGTTTAGGTGCTGTACTTCTTCAAAAAGGACTCCCATGTTGTTATGCTTCCAAGGCAATGACTTCAACACAACAGAAATATGCACAAATTGAAAAAGAGATGCTCGCCATCTGCTTCGGAGTCGACAAATTCCATCAATACATTTATGGCCAACGAGTTACAGTCGAAACTGATCATAAGCCACTTGTACCCATCTTCAAAAAGAATTTAAATGATTGTCCGCAACGTTTACAGAGAATGATGCTGAAACTACAAAAATATGACCTAACGATCGTTTACAAACCCGGGAAAGAATTATTGGTTGCAGATACATTATCCCGTGCATATTTGAAGGAAGAATATGAAGACAATTTGGATCTGGAGATGCAAATTTGTTCGATCATGGAAAAAATCAAAATAACTGATAAGAGATTGGAAGAATTAAAAGAAAAAACAAAAAATGATGACACACTTCAACATCTAAAGAAATATATAGAAACAGGTTGGCCTATGAATAAACGACAAATACCGGATTCTGTCAAACCGTATTACAACTTCAGAAATGAGATAACACAAGGTCAGAATCTAATTTTTAAAGGAAATAAAATAATCATACCAACTTCAATGCGAAATACAATACTGAATAGCATTCACAGTGGACATTTTGGTATAAATAAATCCATTGAACGTGCTAGCACAGCAATCTACTGGCCCAACATGAATACAGAAATTGAGAAGATGATAAAAAAGTGCGAAACATGCCAAAAATACATGAATTCAAATTCTAAAGAACCACTCATACAACACGAAATTGTCGAAATACCATGGTACAAAGTAGGAATGGATATCTATGAATTATATGGGGAACACTATTTGATTTTGGTAGATTACTATTCGAAATATCTTGAAGTTATGAGTTTGAACAAAAATTTAACTTCTAAAAACATCATTGAAAAATTAAAAAGTATATTCGCTCGACATGGGGTACCAAACATTGTGATTTGTGACTCAGGAACGCAACTAATTAGCCAAGAGATAATAAGTTTTACTCACAAATGGAATTTTGAGATCAAACCAAGCTCCCCGCACCATCAACAATGTAACGGCATGGCGGAAAGAACAATTGGCACCATCAAAAAACTATTGAAAAAGACCATCGACGACAAAGAAGACATCTACTTAGCTTTACTTGCTTATCGCAACACTCCTGTTTACAACTCGTACACACCATCTCAAATTTTAATGTCCAGGATTCTAAGAGATAATATGCCACGAACAAAAGAACAGTTAACCCCCCAACTCATTAACAAAGAAAGATATCATATAAAGCTAAAAGAAGCGCGAGACAAACAAAAATTTTACTATGACAGACACACAACAAACAGACCGGAATTCGAAATCAAAGAAAAAATTTACTATCAAGAAAAACCTGGCTCAATATGGAAACCTGGAGAGATAGTGAAAAAAGAAAAAGACAGATCATACACCATTAAGACAGCACGAGGCACCATTTTAAGAAGAAATAAAATACATTTGCGAAGAAGAGGAGAAGAAGTGGAGGTATATCAAAATGACACAGAGCAAGAAGAAAGAATTCCCAACGAAACTACAAACCAACGCGACCCTCCTATCTCAAATCCAACCTCTCCTGATCCCCCCAATGCAAAAACTCAAGATATTACTGGAAACTTGTACACCACTAGATATGGACGAATAATTACACAACCAATCAGGTTCGGCGACTATGTTTCCTAATTTAACCAATGTTTAATGTTGTTTTATGTATTCCACAATTTTCATTTACAATAGTTGTACATAGACATTTAAGTTCTTTGTTTGTAATGAGGGAGATGTAACAGATATGTATTGTTGGTTGCATATCCTTCATGTGTTAAGATGTTTGTAAGAACAAGTCAGTTAAATAGAGACCTTCAGAGAAGACAGTTGTTTCCTTCCCGGCTCCCAAATACAAACACATGACACACGCTTATTTACATCGACTTTAACATTACAGACCTGCATTTGTTTTATGCGTTCACTTGATTCCGCGAATGTGAAATAGACATGTTTATAATCAACCAATTGTGAATTTCACCGTCAAGAATTAAAATAAAACCCAATGTTTTATATAATAAGCGGAAGTCGAAGCAATAAAACCGACGGTCGTTTTGTTTACAGTTTCTGTGTTTGGCTCTCACGTATGCTGTTACGCCTGTCATCTTAAATTAACAATGTTTATACATACACGATTTTCAGTTGCCTCTGATACGTAGGTATACGTGAGTAAATTGTTTCGTTATTTTATTGATTATTACAAATCAATATTCAAACGACCCAATTCATTTTCCCGAAAATTTGAGAATATAATAATTTTATTCTTAGTATTACACTACATCTATCCCAACTGATATACGTGTCCTTGCAAAAATGTTGATGACGTCATCGCAATTTTTTTTTAAATTCCCACTACAAAAATGTAATGAGAAAAAAAACACAATAGGCATGCAGTCGTCAAGTTTCCGACAGCGAGGGAAGTACTGTCTAAACTCTTTAGACCAATTTTTTAAGCTAGAGCGTCGAGCCATTATGTATCGAGATGACTGTAAACTATAGTTTATTTCTTGATGACTTTACCTTGTTTATATATTCTCAACTGCTTAATATATATTGAGTCAAATTTATCTTAATACAGCAAACTACGGTATATTCAGGAATACGCTCGTTATAACTTAAATATCAGTCGTAAAAAATCAGATTAACCAAATCTAATAAAGACAAAGAATTCAGACTGGAACTTAATACTTCATAATACGATTCTACAACCTACATCTTTTCAAAACATCGAGCTAATTAAATTTAAAAGAATTTCTTGTACAGAAAACGATTTCTTTAGTGATACGGATGTTTCACTGATTTTTTGTACTTTAGCATTATGTAAGTTTCATATAAATATCTATGCATTTTTTTTATTGACTACATTTGTGATATCCACACATAAACTATTATTACTATTATTATTATGTATGTCCGATAGCGAGAACTACACATCCTCGGAACCTCGGTGTATAAAAATAGTTGGACCCTAATCTGAAAAATGATTATGTACGTGTAAACCAAAGTTCGGTAAACAGCAGAAATCCCACCTGTTTAAACAGTCCTACAATGGCATTAATATCAAGAAACAACTTTCCCACAACTCGGACAAAAAGCACCCTATCTCGCTCAATTCACAGACCGTACATGCCCCAAGGGGTCGAAATGCACGAAGCAGGAAAAAATTAGCACGGTGCAATATTGCGCCCCGGGGGAATACGGAACAAAAACAAGCGTTAAGTGTAATGGCATCCCCTAGCGTTCGCCTCCCTCGCCATGTGTGCTTGTAATATGAGCTCGGATCTCTCAGAAACTACCCTTTTTATCCGCCCTTAATGATGCAAATGCTGTCAATAAAGGGACGACAACTCCCCTCACACACGAACGCATGCACGGTGCACCTTACCACCACCCAAAACCTAGGTACAGGGACTGTGTAACATATTCCATGCAGTGAACTTTAAACAATAGTGTCATATCGCATCGTATGCTAAAGCTACCTTGGTTTCCCAAATATGTCACCCTGCCACAGGGCACCAAAGGCAACCCGAGCACATCGGGACTTTGAGTGCACAGAAACCTGAGAAGTTGTTGGCTGTCATTAGTATTGGTTAATATCAGACACAGAAATGTGTGGATCAGTTTTTGGGTGGTAACACTACGGAGTGGAAGGTTGGAAGGTCGTCGCGCGAAGAACTTCGAGGACGACAAGAGTTTGGTCTAATCGGAAGCCATTACAGTTTTGAACTTTTTAAATTTAGTGTTATCCCAGGAAAAAGTAGTGACGTCATCAGCGTACACGACAATGGAAAGGAAGAGCGGAAAAATGGCTCTGAATTAGGCAAAACTTGTTGATCAAATTTCAGTTCTTCGGGCGACGTTTGTGGAACGACTCGAACCCGTGCTGAGACATTGTTTAGGCTCCACTCGGTATTCACGTTTCTACTTTGTGCAATACTAATCTGTGATAAACATAAAGGTGCCGCTGCGAGCCTAAATGCAAGATAATAAGCGAAAATATACTAAAAGAGTGACCAGTGTTGAGAAGCGTTGCTTCTTACCTTACCGTTACGCAATGGTGTGTACTTGCGGAGAGAGAAGAAAGATAAAACAAACAATAACACAGTGTAGCCAACGAAACAAAAAAGTTATCACAGTTGTTATTGCACAGTGTGTTCCAAAACTACGGATCGTGATAAAGCGTTCCCTACCACCCGTCAAGCATGTGTTTAATGTTAAGAGATTATGCACAATCCTGATACTCACTTTTCTCTCTCTTCCATCTCTAGAGGATTATTGCCTATCGTTAGCAAAAACAAAACCAAACAGTTAGAGTTAGAAAATGCGGTTGTTATTGCTTACATTTGGTATTTTGACGCTTCTTCCTGCACAGTATTATTATGACGACACAGACGACTAGGAAACAGATGATGAGTGTGATAATTGACGCTATTATCACCGTCAGATTTTCTTTGCTTAGGTACCAGGGTAGTTTGCTGCCTGAAACCGGATTAAACACAACTTTAAATTTCATGTCTTTAATAAAGCAACATCACGGTTTTTGTTTCGGGAATGACTTATAAAAGTCGTAAACACGACCCACGGGCTCATAACTTTTATGGCGAATAATCACGAGCTTAATTATTTTATTGATTCCCATTTGGCAGCGAATGCATCCGCGAATATTAAAAGTTTATGAGTGCTTTTATCGTTGCGTAACTCTTATTTTACCATCGGTAAAATTTGCCGCAAACCCAGATAAGTGCTTGTGTTTAAGAGAGGTGTACTGCAATCGTTGAGTAAAGTAGGCTTGTCACATTAGTGCGGCAATCCGCACTTACGTTCTGCAAGCGCCTGGTTGCTGTCCAAAGCATGATATGCATTATCGCACTAGCGTGGTAATGACACCTATAACCTAACTCAGCGAATGATGGTGTGACGATTGCAAAAGAAGTGTATGTGCGTGTATTGAAACTAAAATGTGTGGTGACACTTTGAAACTTGCAGGTGGTCCAACTTTAATATCATTGTCAGTGTTACCACAACTGCAAGTGACAACCAATCGTTGTACCCTTTAATTTTATCCGCAATTAAAGCTTTGTTTCATATTGATTTCACTCGTGTCGGTGCAATACCGCGTGAATGCACCGACGCTATATCGTTTTTTACGTCATGCTCCAACAAGTGAAAAAGAGCAAAATATGATGGAACCCCAGGAGAAAAGTGTGAAATATAGCCTCATGCACATGCCTAATTACCTGGGCGTCCGATTTGACTACTTTGCTCCTGGTATGCTAAATAACACCAAATTTATTCTTCGAATCCACCACTCAAACTAGCACTTACCTGCAATCTTGATGGAGCATGGGTCACTGGCCTTGATGGTATTGTTAGCTACGCACTGGTACTCGATGTCGGTGGTGCGACTGGAGTCCAAGTAAACGTAGCTATAATCCGTTTTTCCTCCCGAAGGGTTCAAGTCGAGGGTCTTGTTCTGGTCGACTATGGTCCAATAGAACGTCATTTCGTTGGGGTTGCCATCAGCTTTGCAGATTAAAGCCTGGGAACTATCGACCTCCCCGCGTTCAATTTTGCATTCGGGTTTATCTGCAAAAAAAAAACCGTCATAGTACTTTTGGTGGAGGTTTTCACTGGAGGGATTTACACCAGACGTTGAATAAAACCCCGACTGTTTTGTTGCCGTATTTGTTGAAGCCTTCGCAATAGTAGTAGCCGGCGGAGTTTCGCGACATTTTCGGGAGTTTGAGGGTGTCGCTCTTCATGATGGGCTCCCCGGTGAGGTTCTTCTTCCAGACGTAGTTCAAGGTGGGTCTGCCGTCGCCGGTACACTTCACGTCGATGGGAGTTTCGTCTTCCACCACGTTGACGGTTGTGTGGGACACCGTTAAATTTTCTGGAGGGTCTACAAAGATATTTTACATTTCTGATCTTTTGACATGGGTCGCAAAATTGTAACTTACAGTGAACCGCAATTTCAGTCGTGAAGTTAACTCCAACCCTGTGTCTGTCCGGAGGGTCAAAACTAGCACACGTGTAGAACGAGTTGTTCGCCCTTTTGTCCAGCTGGTTGTCGGGCCAGTTCTTCATATTCCACACCTGTAAACGAAGTGGTCACACACGAACACACTTTTATAACACCAGGTACCAAAATCGACTCAATTGACTCAAAGTCGTTCTTCTTATAGTCCGCCGGATGCGTCGTGTTGACGACGTAGTACAACGGATCCCGATCGAAGTCGATTTCTTCATGATCCTTGTACCACTTGATTGAACATACCGGCGAACACTCGATTCTACAAGTCAGGGTCATGTTCTGGGACGAGTACAAAACGCCCTTGTACGGGGTATTATCCTGTGGTATAAGCGCCGGAGGCGCTTCTACATTCACGAAGTCGAACGCCGGCCTACTCTGACCACCTTTATTCAAGGCGATGCAGCTGAAATTGCTCCGCGTTTCCAGAGACGCTTGGGGAATCGTCCAGTTGGGTACCGTTATGTTGTGTACCATGTGGCCGTTCCGGAACCACAAGTACGTCAAGTCTGTGGGGAAACCCGGCTCGTCGACGGAACACGTCAAGATGACTTGACCTTTCTTTATCACAGTTGGAGGGTGGTGCGTGAGCGTGGCAGCGGAAGGAGGATCTAGAACCTCACGTTAATTAGTATTCGGAGGTGGAAAGTCAGAGGATTGTCAACGCGGGAGATACATGGCTAGGGTTAATGCGTCACGGAGACGTGACGTCATAGTTAAGCGGTACCCGTCGTTGGTTAAGGCTGTTGATTCCGCATGTGAATAAGTAAGCACCAAATATTTGGCACTATATACCTATGTTCAATTATAGGCAAATTGCTTCTTGGACATAAAGTCGTATTATTATTATTATTATTAAGTCGAGGTAAATTTAACGTTGATCTTTCGTGTACATTTTGCAGCCAGTTAATATTAATTAATTTTCTTGTTGTGTTGACGTCACGGACGCTGCAGCAAATTGACAAAGAACGCGTCGATTTGTTCCCTCTCTCACAATAAGACATCAAATGGCATAACCTCGGAATTTTGTACTTTTCCCGAGAAATCCGGTCCATACGTTACGCCGCCTTTCTCACAGAAAATCGCAACCGTCTATCGCCCCCCATGCGGACATTCCCTCCGTACTTACAATAAACTATCAGTTCTCTGGGCTCGGAGACCGGTCCGACGCCGGCTTCGTTTTCCCCCTGACACGTGTAGTTCCCAGCGAAGCTCTGCTCCACTTTTATCAAACTCAATATACTGGGGTCTATGCCGCAGAAGGGACCGCCCAGCGTGTCGTTGATCACCGCCTGGCTGTAGTTGCACTCGGGGAGTTCGGCCATGAGCTCGCCATCGAGAAACCAACGCACCTGGAAAAGGTATCGATTTACATCTCGGGATCATCGCCAATGATTTGTTGCGTTTACTTTGCGTAGTGCCGGGGGATTGCCCGAAGTAACGTTGCACAGTAGTGTGACGTTCTTCTGCTCGGTGGCGTTGGCTGGGGTCGCAGGTACCATGATGATCTCCACGTCCGGGGGATCTACGTGTTGCGTTTTGTACGAGTGGTAGACAGTGCGCGATTTAGTACTTACAATGGACGTCTAGGAAAATGAAATCTTCAGAGAGGGTGGAGTTGACTTCGTTTTGTAATAGGCAGGAGTACTCGCCCATGTCTTCTCTGGTGATCCCCACTATGGTTAAAGATGGGTTTCTGGTGTCGCCGTTTTTGTGTTTTCCTGGGATTTTTGTTACGTTCCTTCCGTCTTTGACCCTAAAGGAGTACCATAGAATGTGGGGATATAACGGGGGTTAGGTCTTACCATGTCGCGCCTTCCAGTTTCTGGGGGTTAGAGAAGTATTGGCAAAAGAGGGTGATATTGTCACGTTCGTTTACTACTGTGTCTTCGATAGCACTTATTGTGATAACGGGTGGATCTATAAATTTATAGGTGGTTTAGTTTATAAATACATTTTTTTTAGTTTGAAATTTCCACTCACATCGTACATACAAATATAATACTGTATGCAACGGTGGCTCCATCTTAGTCTCAGTGACCTCATTCTTGGCGTTACATTCGAATCGAGCGCCGTTTTCGAATCTCGTAGCGGAAAAACTGAGTTTGCTCTTCGTGGTGAAGGTGCCGTCTGTCTGGAAATGGAACATAGATTATCGGTTTTGTGTTAGTGTCTAGCCGGCAATTCGGTTCGGGGAATTAAAAATATTTACGATCCTATAAAGAAACCATCAAACGTTAAGCACCTCAATACATCATTCCGACTTCTAATATTAATAAAAGTCTTTTCATGTCTCCCTTGTTAATTGTTCGTCGGTAGCCCCATAACGTTGCGGACAATAACACAACTTTTATCGTCGAATCAAACTGCGTTTACGCGTTATAAATTGCCTACGAGCTATTCAAATTGACTTTTGGAAGCCGATTTCGGTGGAAATTTTGATGGGAACGATCGTTTGGTTTATAAAAAGTCGGCCGGAGCGATTAGGACTTGGACAGAAGAAATTTTATGGGGTCAAACACAAATTACCAGTTGTAAAGTTTTTATTTGCTTTGCGTTGTTTTCGGGGAGCGCTTTATGCGGGCAGAAATCACGAAATTCGGGATTTAGTTGTAACAGGTGTAAGGGGAGTGGCTAGTTAGGGAATTAAGTATTCTGCGGAAGAAGTGCTAATTGCGAAAATTAAAACTCGTCTCGCAAAGAAGTGGTAGAAGTTAATTCCCTTGAACTTTTTAAATTTTTAAATGAACGTTAGTGTTTTCAACTTTACTTACTTCCGTGTATTTCGTTTCGTTGTTTATGTAACTTTGTTTCTCTGCGATAATGTAGTGAAAAGGATTCGCTTCAAAACTTTATGCTTAAATGTAGATTTTTATTGCAGAGTCGGGTTTTGTGACTTGATAAGTTGTCCGAGATTTTCCTAGTTTTCAACTTCGTAGTCTGTTGCGATTAAATATACGAAACTAGAGAACGAAAACTTTTGTTTGGTTCTACAAGAAATTCTTTTAAATCGTTTGATAAAAAACTTATTCATTCGTTTACAAAATGGAGGCTGTTATTAAATGTCAGAACTTTTCGTATATACGTTCTGAGCGTGGGCGAGCACAAGTAAAAGAATTATAAAAACGCACACTTACAAAGGATGAGTTTAAATACCGATTCGCCTTAGAGCGATAGAAGAATTGCGAACTTCAATGCGATATAATCCTGCATTTTGGATACAAGATTTTTTTGCTAATTCATGTGTCTCCTGCGCCACACTTGGTAAATCATTTTCGGTATTAGCCGCAAATGGAGAGCGATAGTCCCTCGAAATGTCCTTTTCGATGCAAATGTGGAAAAATAACGCACGACATCGCGACCGGATTCCTGCTTCGTCCTCTCAGGAATCATAATTTAATACGCCCCCACGCACCCATCCTGTAGGAAAAATTGGCGCTATTGAAAAAATGTTTACCATATTGGAAGTTTCCGTTCGACTATCCTCTGGACGCAACTTTCACAAAGAGCATAAACACAATAGAACAAAATTTCAAGTTTGGAAAACACGACAAGAGGACTATTCAGTTTTCGCTGACTTGCAGACAAAGAGGGCTGTCACGAGTACACTTTGCCCGAGTTTGGCACAACTCCAGAGGGGCGCTTTTAGCAAGGGAATTAAAATCTGAGTTGTATAAAGTCGGGGAGCGAGGTAGTTAAGTAATGAATGTTCTAGCTAATTTTTAGCTGCTAGTTTTGCTTGGCCAATCTTCGACAGTGTTTCTAATTATCAATAATTCAATTTGTAAAAAATAAATTTTGTCGCTGAAAGATGTTATTAAATAATAACAAAATGGCCGACCGGCGCGCTAATAGAAGATGCCATGACATGCTCCTGAGCACTGAGAGGATTCTCAGGTTCTTGGGCCATGACGTGCGTTGAGATGACTGTAACTGTTACCAGACTGGACCTGTACTATGTTCTTTAGTATTAGCCAACATGTTTCAGAGCGTATGCGTTTAATAAAATACACAGACATACAGACGGAAATGGAAGACATCCTTTTTGCGGATCTGTGACCCGTGGAGCAAACATGGAATTAGCCATTCGTCAAAACGACCCAATTGCAATACGAAAGTACAATCCGACTAAATTCGCTAACAAGAAAACTCGAAAGGGCTCCCTCTAATAAAGTTTACGTTATGATCCCTGTCGGTCCACCTATTCCCCTCGCGGAATTTATCGTTACGTTGACAGTAAAAAGGATGTCATAATAACTAATCGGATGTCCTACATCCCGTCTCAAGCCATTCGCCAACAAATGGCCGAACGTTTTTCTCGCATCCCAAACTTCCTTGGTTTCAAGCATCGCCTGTAATAAATCTCTCCAATAGGTAGTCTTTCATTGCGCTCCCTAAATACGTCACGGCGAACTCGTAGATTGAGAGTCGTCGGTGAGGAAGCTTACCGAATAACACAATCCAACATTTCTGCGAGATATACGAGCCCTAAATGCTTTAAAATATCGCGCTGCTACGCAATTTTACATACGGAGGGCGGCTGTTTCTCTAATTTATCGCATCTGTACCAATGTTTAAGCCAGGCCTCGTGTCTTCCTACTTTTACATCTTATTAAATCTGCTTTCTGTAACTTTACCCAATAAAACGGCTTCTGCTGTCGCTGGGGATAATTAATGGGGAGACTAAACGACATCGGAGATTTATCGGGGCGGACGCCATGCTTTCATAAAAATTGCATCCGCATTTGTGGTAAGCTCATCTCGAAAGTGCAGAGGGGAATAATACTCGAAAGAAGGGCCGAGGGAAGATTTCGTACGGGCTATTGAAGCTACTTCGAATGACTAAATGCATTGCGTTACTCCACTCAAGCATTCGTAGGTAGTTTATTAATTCACATTATTACGCCAGAAGTATAACTCAGGTATTTCTCATCTCTCAGTCGGGGAGTTCTGCAAATCTATAAAATCTCAAAAGGCCTAACCATTTGCTTCGTAACAATGAAAACGTCGCATGGCAATGATTACTGGCCACCTCAGTAACATTTTGACTAACTAGTGCCAACTATATCATTTATCTAAATAGTGAAAAATAACGGACCCAAGACATGGCCCTGAGGAACACCAGATCGTCTAAAAATTCTCTTTTGTAAAATTAAATTGAGTAAAAACAGGAAATTATAGACATCAAAATTAATTTAAGCGTCTGTAATTCTGGAAAAATTAAACCAAGTCTAGCTAAAAACCAAATCGAAATAATCCGACCGAAAAAGATGTACCAATGAATTCCAAAGCAAGCCTTTGTAAATTCGTACAATTGATTCGCACAAGCACCACCCAGATTCCGCCGATTTCAGGGGACTATTCAATAATTCACCCTCAATTACGAGCAGTTCTATCTCCAAAATAGAGCTTTAATTAATGTACAACAATGCAGTGGCGTTTAGAGCGCTCCCTGCATTCGCATTTTCATTTTCGGCGTAGATGAAGGAAGACGGAAAAAAGCCGTAACGCTAAGAGGGTATTTAGTTTCCATCCGTTTCCGCAAGCTTGATGCATGATAAAGATTAGCGGGCGGGCGAGAGATGTCTCCAGATATGACTTATGAGTTTATCTGATGCTAAAAATTAAGAATTGTTTCTCGTCTGCGATCCGTACGCTCGTATCTTTTAATTTAAGTCAGATTTTATCTGTTAGTCGGAACGAAATAATATTTTTAGCGTTCTTTCAACACTTTCCGAGGATCTTTATTGTGTGATTTCTTTACTCCTTTCGAAATAATAACGGGCTGCTACTTGACGTGGCAAAGGGGCGTGGGGCGGACTCACGATTCTTGCGATTTCTGTTGAAGTGAATCACGAGAACTGGACGCATTCGGCAGAAATAAAATTTTAAAATTAAAATAAATGGAGCTGCAGCAAATTCCATTAGGTATGTGTGGATGTTTCAACAAAAAAAGCTCTACAAATATTTACATTTTATCATTCATTTCCATTAATTAACGGAATTTTTATATGAGAATGTTTTTTGTAAATCGCAGGAAACATTCAAAATGGCCTAATGGACTTTTTAATGAATGTAATGTTTTATAAAGAAGCTTAATTATTTGCAGCCAGTTTGAAAACATTTTTTTACTTATGTGGGGGCGTAAGGTTAATACAAGACCTTCTTTTATAAAAAATGAATTGAATCTACTCGTAGATACAAGGTTTCAACTGATCTTAAATTTATCATTCCGAAGATAATCGTGTAATTGTGCTTTTGTATCTTCTACCAAAGTTGTAAAAGCCAGATTTCAGTTTAAGTTTGCCGCGCAACAAGTTTGAAATCCGTGTCCTTCACATGACGTCACACATGTCGGGAAGCTCGGTTACGTTATTTGCACAGTCCTTCAAGATTTTTATTTAAGGAACGAATCCTGTTTTAAAGCGGGTACTTGAAGTTCTACTACGGAATATAAAGTGTGTTGCATTGTAAACACTAATTAAGACGCTTTGAGTACTCCAATATAATCCACTTGCGACAATGTGTTCTTTACGAGCCTTCAGTTGCATAATGCTGGCAGGATAATATTTCATCTTTAATTTACGAGTAGCGGTTCCACCATAACTTCTAATCGTAACAAAGTACGCCTTATTTCGCATAAAACTCAATTTATGATGCTTTTAAATTATATCAAAAACAGGATCTCCGTTTATCTACGAATCGGCAACAAGATGGTAGATACACGGGTATTTCTTTTCGTAAATTGTTACTAAGTAGCAAACTAATCCCGAAAGTTGGTAAAGAAAACAAGAAAACTTGAAATTACTCCATAATCAATATTAATCAGCGCTCAGATATAGCAACCTAAAAGAGAAAAGTTCTCAGCGTTGCATTTATTATTGATCAGAGGGGTATAAACCGCACAACTAGGTATAACTCTCCCCCCCGCGGGACTTAATAATTAGTGTTAAAACAAAACTTTGGATACGCTATAACTTTCCGATCATATCGGCTCGACCTAAACTCCTTCCAGATCTAACTCCCGAAAAAGCACTATTAAGAAAAACCCTGCTTTTATTTCACTTGTGCGATAAAAGTAGGACACACTTTAAACACTTACTTGCTCTTCGTAGGTGGTCTTGATTTCAACCCCCGTGCTTAAATCGGTCTTCAGCGGGACCTCCGTGGTGTTGCGCCATTCCACTTCGGCGATGGGCCTGGCTCCCTTCACTTCGCACAACAACGAGACGATCGTTCCTTGGGTTACGTGGCCCTGTACACCGGTCAACACTATATCCGTTGGACTCACTGCAAATTAAATGTAATCCAATTATACGAGACGTGCTGAGAAACTGAAATCATATCAGATTTTTTTGCAATTTACAAAGCCAGGGAGGGCGTTCGTGGCCTGATTGCTGACCAGACGCATCTTGATGGCGTTTTAATGTTTATTTGGTTCGATAAGACACGTTTTTTGCTCGCGTGTGGGGAGTATTGTGGAGGTCGATGGTCGTTATGGGAACACAGGGATCTTAAACTTGTGTCAGGCAGGTTGTTACGTTAAATGCTAAACGTATAAAATAAATTCGCAAAAAATTACGTTATCTATTGTCACTAGCGTACTATTTCCTTTTCCATTTTGATGACCTCACAAGGTATCGTTTGTATTTTTTTTTTGTTGTTGGAAATCCTCTCACGACCCCCCACTTTGGAAACCGTCGGTTTAATGTCAAAACAGTAGGAAAAAATCTGTATAAATAGAGCACTTTGTATTACAGTGTCGTGTGAATCGTTTAAGTTGGGAATTTTATTGGCTTTAAAGCGCAAGCATTTGTAAAGCTCATCTTTCGCCCCTAAGAAGAGGGCCTACTTTTTAATAAAATTTTTATCGTCAATTAAAACTCGCGTTCAGCCGCACTCGTTAGCCCTTCCCATAAAAACGCGTCCCCGCGAGGCCTCCGGTAATAATTCGGCATTGTTCTTCATTCAGTACGTCAAACAAGCGTCAGAGGACGCAAGATGATGAGGTTAAACATCGAACCGCGTGACACGAAATGTAAAGCCGCCACTTCGCGCTGAAGAGGGTAATTTCGAAGCACGCCACCTTCTTACTTTAAGTATCTCGATTCCACGGCCGTTTTAATTAAACGTAAAGCTGAAAATACATTCATACACTTAAGAAGCTGTGTCACGAACATTCACTCCTGCAACGCTCACGAAAACGATTTAATTCAAGGGGTGAGAAAAAATAGCGGGACGCTTTTATCGCCCGAAGCGCAAAAAATTGGGGCGTTGTACAGACGGCAGGGCGATAAAATCTTGTGTTTATACATCTAACGGGATTCCGTTAAAAATTGAGAATTTTTAATACTTAATTTGCAGCGCACCCCTCGGCGTCTCGGATAACCCCATAAAAGATTACGTAATTGGGCGAAACAACGGAGCATTACCAGCACCATGGGAAATCTAAAAGGCCTGCTTTAAAACGACCGGATTTAGTTCGGGGGTTTTATTCGCGTGAATTCGCACCAATAACGGACGATTAACTCGCAAAAATTCAATTTTTGTTTTCTTGGCAGGGGAGCCGGATCGAGAGCCACTCATTTTTAGATGTTGTTGCATCTACGACACATGACTGGAGCCAAAGCTGACCAAAAAATAATTCGTTCCAAGAATTTTTACAGTGCACTGAATATTTTATAATAATCAGCCTAGTAGTTTTGAAGGTTATCATTGTTATTAACAGGCAGAGGACATTTTCGTATTTTGGAAGGTTGAAAATGAAGGTCAATTGGGAATGTCAACCGTCTACGTCTTGGGAAAGTAATAAAATAGATTAACAATATTGAAGGAACTAATATTCTACTGTTTCTGCGGATTATTGTGATCATCTTTTCGGATTATTGGATTTTTTCGTCATTTCTTTTTTATGGGCCTCAATAGTCCCAATTACAACTCCTACATTTTCATCGACCGGAGTGGAGGCGCCGGAAAAGCAAATGATTTTCAACAAACTTCTAGACGACATAATCAGTTCTGTCTGCCCTCTTTACATATTTTCATACTTGAAGTAAAAAAGAAATAAACTTTCAGTAGATTCCAGATAAATTACCAGTTTTCGGATAAGCCCGACCGACTTAAATTTTGTATATCAAGTTTTACATGTACATATGTATATAGACTGCCAGACAAAAAAATTGGGACACTAATTTTTTGTGATTACTTGCAACTGATCGAACTTTTGTAAAAAATATTCCAAAAAGCAAATTATTAATGTATTCATTAATAGAAAACATGTGGAAACAGAAAAAAAGGAAAAAAAGTTGTAACACTAAACATTAGCGCAAATTTACAAATATTCATGTGTCCGGGTTTTTTTGTCGGGCAGTGTATTTTAGAATTGTCAGTTATCCCGACTAATATTTTGAATACATCTTCTCAAAATTCTGTGTAGTAAATGTTATTCAAATTTCATAAAATAACATACTTATTTAACTTTAGATATCTAAATTGTATAAATTGTGGACAAACGACGTACGCCGTAATTTATAAACTTTGAATACCTCATTTTATAAACGACGAACGCGTTTTAGGGAGGACGATTTGCCGCACTGTGTAATCACAGAAAGAGGCAAAAAAAAAAATCAGCGACCCTGTAAGAGCCAGTAATTTAGGTATTCGAACTGAAACCTCAATCACTAAAATCGGAGATTAATGAACCCGCATTTCAGCCCGGCGATGCAAAGTTGGTATTTGCAATTGCACAAATTAGTACAAGTGGTTTAGAATTGAGTTTCTGTTTGCGATTCTTGTGGATGTCGGATCGAATCCTCGAATCTGGTTAATTACCGGTTTAAAGGGACGACTATCGGGTAACGCTTCACAAACCGCACTTGTAAAGTTTATTGAGTGGTGTTCCGTACGATGTCGAACACATCGCGCTAATGCTTCCTGCACTGACCCTCCAGGGCCGAAACCTGGACGGCGTGTTCGCGAAAATAGGAGTACACGTAAAATCGGCGAGTACAATGTCCTTTCAACGGTATACTTCGCCTCAGCGTGCCGCAAACGGTAATTAAAATTTCGGATTAATTACAACGTCCAGTGATACGTTAAGCTGGGCGAATACGTTTTCATTAGTCAGAAACTAGAACAGAGGAGTCACGAGGACAGTTTATAGTCGGAGGCGTCCAAAGTCCTTTATTGTTCTTGAAACGGTCAAGCAGTTTCCCGTACATATCCCCTAACTTTCCGCAACACAATAACGCAACATTCTGGCAATAATCCGACAGTAGTTGGCACATTAATTAAATTATTAAATTCCAAAGGAATTCGCAAACTCTTGCTTTTAAACGTGTTGCTTGTTCACGTTGAAAACTGTAGCAGCTGGTTTGAGTGATTCTACTAGAAGAATCAGTCATGCGGACGGGGCCGGCGTAATTGAGCGATAACGGCTCCCTTTGTTAGAGCGGCCGCTGGAGCTGATATAGTCCGTGGTGGCGAAATTTTCGACCTAATTATGGAGTTAGTGTTCTTATTGGGAAAAATCAAAGCTATCTTGCACATGCGCACACTCGTACCAAATTGTGCTGAAAACGCTATAAACTATACGTCTATTAAAAAATTACCACAATCTTATCTTGTAATTACCATTCGCGTTGAAAAAAGTTTAAACACATTGTCGACATTTTGCCGGAAAATCGTTTAGTGTGCGAAAATTGCAACACCAGTGGTGACTTAAGGGTTTTAATTATGCAACGGTCATAACAGGTGTTTCATACACCCACATGCCTAGCGTTTTATCTCCGTGCGGGTTGGGCTTCAATTTAATTTAATACCGGCCACACCGACCGCAGATATTGCCTTAGCGCAGCTATTTTCACGTTAATTGTGCAGACTTTTAATTCTATCGATAACAAAGTTTGTGTAAGGGTTTCTTAAACACGGTTATAAAATCACTCATTATTCGGACGCCCGCACCATTTTTACGTAAAGGTTGAACCGGTTTAATTACAGGAAAATTTCTCAGGATTACGAGTTTGTCGTCGTTTTCGCCGTATCTCAGCATGCAGCTTGGATTTAATCAGCATTTGTTAAGTCCAGATATCAAAATGTATAAAGAGAAGCACCATTTTTTCTTAAATGATTCATGTCGTCTACAAATTCTTCGAAAATTATAGTTATGAATGTTTATAAATCAGGTATTATCCCGGCGCCTCCACCATTTTTCGCGGAAACTGTAAAACCGGTCGGATCGTTGTAGAAAGTGCTTTATCACATAGGAAATTTTCTCAGAGTCATGAATTTGCCCCTATTTTCCCTGCACCCACCACAAAAATCTGTTTACAAAATAATTTAAATATGTTGGATGAATCCAAAAACTGAGTCAAGATGTAATGCGTGATTTTTTTTTTTTTGATTTGGGCATGATTGTCACTTTTAGGTCTTCAATTGTAGCCACTGATTGTTTAAAAATAGTTTTAAAAGTTGGGAACAAGAAATAGTCGAAAGGTATCAAATCAGGTGATCGAGGTGGGTAGGAGCTGTTGCGTTGTCATGCTGGAAATATCCGCTCTGCAATCCTTCCTGCAACATGTTCTGATAACTCGCAGTTCTAACTGACACCTCGAAGAAAAAAGTTTTTGAGAAATCGTAATCTCCAAAATTCACATTATTAAATATTATTTAAATTACTCTTGGACCCGTAGTTTATGAATCCGTGTTGAGTTTTCACCCTGGACTACAAAATTTTTGGAAAAAAATTCAAAATTACAATATTTTCCAATTTAACTTTGTGATTCCAAAAACCGAATGCTGTGAAACCTTGCAAATATTTTAGGGTTACTAAAAGCATGGGAAATCTTTAATCAAAATTTGTCGAGCACCTTACAAGTGTATATATTGTAACATGGAAATGTTACGACGTTTTAAATAGCGCGCGCATTTAGAGAGTAGGGGGGTAGGAGCTGGAAGGTTCGAGAAGAGCGAGGCTTTTTGGTTTTGAGAGGGCGACGAGAGAAGGTCGAGAGAAAAAGACACGGAAGTTTTGGGGTGTCGTTGTTCACGAGAAAGGGGTGAAAAGTTAGTGTCAAAGAGAGGTGTCATCCTGTCATCCTGGTAAGTCTGTCGAACCGCCAACCTGGAGGTAAATTAACCGCGTTCATGGACTGCTAAACGCTACAACCAATCGAACTCCTGCCCACCACATTTTTTTTTATTTCAAGTCATAGTTTTTTTATAATGTACCTAATTAGTCGATTTAATTTATTAGATATTAAATAAAAAGAGCATTGGTGAAGTTGGGTGGT